ACCAACAGAAACTGTAAACCAGTAGGTGTGTTAGTTTCAGAGTAGTTTCAGTGTAGTTAGCTCCTCCCTGAAGGCAGATATAAGGAAGTGTCCACCAGCGTCTGACCAGAACTGAAGCTTGGATGAGCCGAGGAACATATTCAACCAAATAAACTTTTGACAAATTGAATTTCTCCTTTGCCATGTCAGTCAATTGCACTATTACTTCAGTGACACCGAAACCATCCTTTTGGGATTCAGAAAGGCCGGAGGGGGACCAGCGGAGCACCAGAGCGGACTTAGCGGCCGACCAGAGCGGGACCAGAGCGGCCGACCAGAACCAACAGGGGACAGAGCTGAAGCCAGAGGGGACCAGAGCGGGACCAGCGGAACCACCAACTCTGCAGCTTTAAATCTAGGCCTCTGCGGGGTCCAGTTTAAGCTTGAGCTCCAGCCCTGGCGTGGGCTCTGACCCTCCGGTTGGTCCTGGTCCGTCAGTCCCGGTCTCAGTCCGTCTGTCTCACTCCCGCTCTGGTCCAGTTTGGGTCCTCTCAGTTTGGTCCCGGTCTCTTCTCTCGGGCTTTGGTCTGGTCCAGTCCTCTGGTCTGGTCTGCTGGGTCTCGGTGGTCAGTCTGGTCTGGTTCTCTGGTCTCCCCAGTCTGGTCCCGTCTGGTCCCGGCCTGGTCGGGTTGGTCCGGTCTGGTCCCGGTCTGAGTCCCGGTCTGAGTCCCGGTCTGGTCCCGGTCTGGTTTCGGTTGGTCCGGTCAGTCTCAGTCCCGCTGTCCGGTCTCAGTCCGGTTCTGTCTGGTTCCTGGTCTGGTCTGGTCCCTCCCGGTCTGGTCCCTGTCGGGTGGGTCTGGTCCCGGTCTGGTCCCGGTCTGGTCTGGGTCTGGTCTCTCCCTGGTCTGGTCTCCCGGTCCTCTGGTCCCTCTTCGGTCTGGTCCTGTCTGGTCTCGGTCTGGTCCCGGTCCTGGTCGGTCTCCTGGTCCCGGTCTGAGTGGCGGAGTTCCACAGTCCGTACCATTTCCTGTCTCTCAGTCCCGTAAAATCGTCAGGTCGAAATTCTTCGAAAACATCTGTTTTTTTTTCAGAAAAACATGGAGACACAAATATCGATTTTTTTCAGTTATTTTTGGAGGACAGTTTTAACGAATTTTTATTTTTTCGTTTCTCTTATTTTTGAAAAACGAACGAACGAACGACACACGGATTATTTATCTCTCGTGTAACGACAGAACAGCTTTGTGTGATTACAAACTCAAACGTGAGCTTTTCTGGACCAACTACACATCGGTAAACAGTCGACAGTCCAAACGGGATAACAGCTGAACCAATATTTGGGAGCAGATATCCGATCCGGCAAATTTTTCAGTATCGGATTGGCGCATCCCGACCCCCCGCGGACAGAAACTTGACCCGGCGGTAAAAAGCTCCGCGGTTATTTGAACGACGTCAAGTCTTGCGGCAGTCTCGTTAAAGGACTTGTAACGCGCGTACGGCTCTGTTAGAAGTCGATAAACAAAGGAAAGAAAAAAAAAAACGAACATGAAAAGTGAATTACGATAGAAGAAGAAGAAAGAAGAAGGAGGCTGAGAGAAAGTGGAGCACCCCCCCGCTGTGACACATATAGACTTATAACATGAGAGGGAATAGACTATGGACCTTCACAGTGGATTAAACCAAACCAAAAAAAAAACCAAAAACGGGAAAGTCTAAAGAAAGAAAAGAACTGTGAAAATTAAAGCTTTTTTGACCCTTATAGTTATAAAAGTACACTGCGTAACTTTTCTTTCGGAGATTAGATGTTGTTGCTTTGTCTGGAATGTTTCGCAGTGCGGCTTTAGGCATTTCTATCGTCACGGAGACCGAACCAAGCCCAAGTTACAGGTCAGAACTGTCAGAATGTTGTTTTTCCAGATATTTTTGAGCCGTAAAACCACCTCTAATTGGATAAATGTAAGGCAGAGCTGTTTTAAAGTCACACTGTGGAACATTCCGGGCAGAGCGATGACGTCTCCATAGAAACGAGGAGGTGAAGTGAACCAAAATACTAGTTACGTAGTGCACATTTAAGTGGTATTTTAGTTAATTTAATAATGTAAAAAGTGCACAATGTAACTTTTCTGGTGTAGGATATGCCGCCTGCTTGTCATCTCCATGGAGATGTTACTGCTTAAGCCTAAAATGTTCCACAGTGTGGTCAGTTTCAGGTCAAATCTGTGGGAGACTTCACTTCAGCCTGTTTTTTCTAAGTATTTGAGCTATAAAACATCTGTAATTGAATAAATGTAAGGCAAAGCTGTTTAAAGTCGCACTGTGGAACATTTCAGACAGAAGAATGACATCTCCATAGAAATTGCAACAAAAAAGTTACGTCTGCACATAAATTTATTTTGGTTAATTTAATAACGTAAAAGGTGCGCTATGTAACTTTTCTGGTGTAGGAGCTGCCGCCTGCTTGTCGTCTCCATGGAGATTTTACTGCTCAGCCTAAAATGTTCCACAGTACGGTCAGTTACAGGTCAGATCTGTGGAGAAGCGACCCCGCTCACAGTCAGAATGTTGTTTTCTAGGTATTTTTGAGAGCAAGAAATAATCCCAGAGCACATAAAAAAAAATTTACACCGAAAATTACACCGTGCACATTTAAGTGGTATTTTGGTTAATTTAATAACGTAACTTAATCATTTAAGAGCTCTGTAACTTCTCTGGGGTAGAATCTGCCACCTGCTTGTCGTCTCCATGGAGATGTTAATGCTTTGCCTGGAATGTTCCACAGTATGATCAGTTTCAGGTCAGATCTGTGGAGAGGCGAGCCCCGCTCACAGTCAGAATGCCTGATTTTTAGGTGTGCTTTTTTACTATTTTTGAGCGATAAAATCACCTCTAACTGAATAAATGTAAGGTAGAGCTGTTTAAAGTCACACTGTGGAACATTCCAGGCAGAGAAATGACGTCTCCATAGAAACAATGAGGTGATTAACCAAAATACTAGTTACGTAGGGCACATTTAACTGGTATTTTGGTTAATTTAATAACGTAAAAGCTTCTGGGGTAGGATCTGCCACCTGCTTGTCGTCTCCATGGAGATGTTACTGCTTAGTCCAAAATGTTCCACAGTGCGGTCAGTTTCAGGTCAGATCTGTGGAGAGGCGAGCCCACTCACAGTAAGAATGTATGTGTTCATTTAGCAGGGACAACGTTTCTGTAAAAGTACCAAAATAGGCCTAAATGTCCCTGATGAACACATAATGAAATTAATTTAAAGCAAAATTGTGGAAACATTTCAGGCAAAGCACCAACATCTCCATGGCGACCAAACACTGGAAATGTTACGCAAAAGTTATGTTTTAAAAAAGGAACCACAGTCACCTGGAGCTGTGCTGCCAGCGCCTAAACCTGCAGATAAAAGACACATCCACGTTTTTCTCATTTTCAGTGAACGGACAAACCTGGACTTGTGTTTTGTTTCATTCACACATGTTTAACACACAAACTCTCCATATTCAGACTCAGTTCTTCTTCTCTCACATAGAAAACACACTGTTCCACATTGTGATGTCATGTGGTAATACAGGAAGTGCTCTACTGTGTTTTTAAACTCCATACACTTTCACTAGAATCATGTGGGTAATTTCAGCCCTGGAGTTGCCAAATCTCTACTGAACTAAAGGTAAAAGTAAGTTGAAAACTACAACTTCATGACATCATAAAGTGGAACAGAGCATTTTTAGCTTTGGAGATGTAGACAAAGTAATTATAAAGAGCTTCTCAAACATGTGTGAATGAAAAAAAACAACTCCAGGTCTGTTTTTGAGGAGGCAACAGCTTTATAACATGACTTAAAACTCTCAAGAATCCATTTTGCGTAATATAGCACCTTTAAACGATCAATTATATATATATATAAAAATGACTACACCAGGACTAAACCAGGACTACACCAGGACTACACCAGGACTACACCAGGACTACTAAACCAGGACTACCAGGACTAAACCAGGACTACACCAGGACTAAACCAGGACTAAACTAAACCAGGACTAAACCAGGACTACACCAGGACTACACCAGGACTAAACCCAGGACTAAACCCAGGACTAAACCCAGGAGGACTAAAACCAGGGCAAAAAACCAGGACAAAAACCAGGACTAAACAAGAACTAAACCAGGTCTAAACCAGGACAAAAACCAGGACTAAACAAGAACTAAACCAGGTCTAAAACCAGGACTAAACCAGGACAAAAACCAGGACTAAACAAGAACTAAACCAGGTCTAAAACCAGGACTAAAACCAGGACTAAAACCAAGACTAAAACCAGGACTAAAACAAGGACTAAAACCAGGACTAAAACCAGGACTAAAACCAGGACTAAAACCAGGACTAAAACCAGGACTAAAACCAGGACTAAAACCAGGACTAAAACCAGGACTAAAACCAGGACTAAAACCAGGACTAAAACCAGGACTAAAACCAGGACTAAAACCAGGACTAAAACCAAGTAAAACTAAGGACCAAGTCTAAGCCAAGTCTAAGCCAGGTCTAAGCCAGGTCTAAACCAGGACTAAACCAGGACTAAACCAGGTCTAAATCAGGACTAAACCCAGGACTAAACACAGGACTAAACCCAGGACTAAACACAGGACTAAACACAGGACAAAAACCAGGACTAAACAAGAACTAAACCAGGTCTAAACCAGGTCTAAACCAGGACTAAAACCAGGACTAAAACCAAGACTAAACAAGAACTAAACCAGGTCTAAACCAGGACTAAAACCAGGACAAAACCGGGTCTAAACCAGAACTAAACCAGGTCTAAACCAGGTCTAAACCCAGGTCTAAACCAGGTCTAAAACCAGGACTAAAACCAGGACTAAACCAGGACTAAAACCAGGACTAAAACCAGGATTTAGCCAGGACTTAACCATCCCTGTATTGTCCGATATAAAACCGGTCCGTGGTGTAAAAGAGTTTGAGAACCACTAGTAAAGATCATTTTAATTGGTTGAAAATGTCTCACCTTCTGATTCGCGGAGGCTTCGGAGGAGGCGTGTCCCATCTCTCTTCGTCTGACTGCTGTCGAGATTTGTCCGGACTACTTTCATCCTAAAACAATAAAAAAAAAAAAAAAACAAAACACAGATCAGCAATTAAAACGGTCCATAAATAACACCATAATAATTAGGTCCCAGAGGCAGTTGATGAAGGAGGTTGTTAAGGAGGTTTTAGGTCATGATGCGATCTCACGTGTGTTTTATTTTCAGCTTGTCAATGCAGTCGGACGACATTTGTGCGTTTGAGAACTCCCCAGGACAAACCACATACTTGTTTATTTACACGACGCTGTAAAGTGAAAATTGAAAATACCTTCTTTGTTCCTTGTCATAATTGTCCTTGTTTGTAATTGACAACAACAAATCAGTCACCAAAACCTGGCTGCAGACCGGGCAGGTTAGAGCCCTGATGCTGTGCCTCTTTTTCATGTAATAAAAACAAATTTGTCGTGTTGTTTTATTGTGAAAGTTGCTCTCAGGGTGATTCATTTTTTTTTTTTTCGATTTTGTGTTTAAATGAAAAATGGAAAAAACGGATAACGGCCGTTTCCTGTTTGTGTGACTTAAACTAAACTGAACGACTGAACCAAGACTGAACCGGGACTGAACCGGGACTGAACCGGGACTGAAACCGGGACTGAACCGGACTGAACCAGACTGAACCGGGACTGAACCGGAACTGAACCGGACTGAACCAAGACTGAACCAAGACTGAACCGGGACTGAACCAAGACTGAACCAAGACTGAACCAACTGAACCGGACTGAACCGGGACTGAACCGGGACTGAAACCGGGACTGAACCGGGACTGAACCACTGAACCGGGACTGAAACCGGGACTGAATGAACCGGGAACTGAACCACTGAACGACTGAACCGGGAACTGAACCGGGACTGAACCGGGACTGAACCAGGGACTGAACCGGGACTGAAACCAGGACTGAACCAGGACTGAACCAGACTGAACCGGGGACTGAACCAGGACTGAACCAACCCAAACTGAACCGGGACTGAACCAAGACTGAAACCAGGACTGAACCGGGACTGAACCAAGACTGAACCGGGACTGAACCAGGTCCGGGACCAGACCAGAACTGAGACTGGGACTGAGACCAGGACCAGACTGGGACCAGAGCAGAACTGAGACCGGGACTAGACCGAGACCAGACCAGGAATGAGACCGGGACCAGAGCAGGACTGAGACCGGGACCAGAGCAGGACTGAGACCGGGACCAGGGCAGAACTGAGACCGGGACCAGACCGGGACTGAGACCTGGACCAGACCGGGAATGAGACAGGGACTGAGACCGGGACCAGAGCGGGACTGAGACCAGGACCGAGACCAGGAATTAGACCGGGACCAGACTGGGACCAGACCAGAACTGCGACCAGGACCGAGACCAGACCAGGAATGAGACTGGGACCAGGCTGGGACCAGGCCAGGACTGAAAACAGTTCAGTCCTGGTTCAGTCCTGGTTCAGTCCTTATGCGGCGCAAAAGTTCGGCATCGCAGTTTCAGTCATGGAAACGGGATCCATTTTTGTCAGTTTTTTTCCATTATTCATTTAAACACAAATTTGAAAACTGAAAAATCTAAGTTGTTTTAGTTGTTTTTTCTTATTTTTTAGTTTTATTTTGAAAAACAAATGAACGAATTATACACGGATTTAGTAACAGTTAAAACTTAAAACGGCTCCATTAATCACAATCTCGTGTTATTAAACCGCCTGAAACCGCGAGCGCAGCTGCCAGCGTCTCGTACATAAAGCCCCGTGTGTGCGTCTCTCCCTCTTTCCCAGCGGATGTGGCTATTCTCAGGCTCCGGGTGCATTATGGGTGAAGCGGTGATGTCATCAGAACTTCCCAAGCAGGAAGTGGGATTCTGGAGCGGTGCCAGCCAACGCCTCGTCACGTCTTTGCATCCTCTCTGTCCTCAAATCTGATCTGGAGCGAAAAACCCCGTGACTCCGAAACCGGGGGGCGCGATCTGCTCTTTGATCTGGTGTTGTCACGGCAATAAAATGTCAAACTTTTTTTTTTGTTGTTTTTGTTTTAAAGGATCTTATTATATTACTCAAAACTTGACTCTTGTGAGCTTTAAGTCATGTTAGAATGTTGTTAAATCCTCAAAAACGGACCTGGAGTTGTGTTTTTGTTTCATACATTACTAGTCCAAAGCTCAAAACGCTCTGTCCCACCTTGTGATGTCATGAAGTGGTAGTTTTCAAGCTTTTTTTTTTACCTTTAGTTCAGTAAAAATCTCCAATTCCAGAGCAGAAATCATCCAAAATGATTCTAGTGAAGGTGTCTTGAGTTAAAAAACACAGTGGAGCACTTCCTGTATTACCACGTCATGACATCACAAGGTGGAACAGAGTGTTTTTATACACGACAAGGCGTTATTACGATGCAAAAACGTTCAAAATCCATTTCAATACTAATGAAAAACTCAATACTACGACCCGATTTTGATATAAACATGATATAAACGTTATATTGTTTAAATAATTGGTGTTAATTTTCTGCTTTTGGCTTTTTAGATTTAAAAAAAAAAAAAAAAAAGAAGTTTGATAATTGAGTTCATTTTAACATTTGGATTGAGCAGTGATTAATATTGCAGCTCTGCAGTTACACAACAACAGAAAACTGAAGAAAACAACTCTTATTTTCTGTTTAGACGCTAAATCCTTCTCTCTCTCTCCTAGTGATTTCTCTCCCCTCTTCCTCCTCTCTCTTCTCTCTCCTCCTCTTCTCTCCCTCTCTCTCCTCTCTCTCTCCCTCTCTCTCTCCTCCTCCTCTCTTCTCTCTCTCTCTCCTCTCCCTCTCTCTCTCTCACTCTCTCCTTCTCTCCTCTCTCTCTCTCTCTCTCTCTCTCTCTCTTTCTCCTCTCTCTCTCTCTCTCTCTCTCTCTCTCTCTCTCTCTCTCTCTCTCTCTCTCTCTCCTCTCACTCTTCCATCTTGATCACTGTCTCCTCTCTTCTCTCTCTCCCTCTCTCTCTTCTGTCTTCCTCCTCTCTCCCCTCACTCTCTCATCCCCCCTTTCTCTCTCCTCTCTCTCCTCTCTCTCTCTCTCTCTCCTCCTCACTCCCCCCTCTTCTCTTCTACTTCCTCCTCTCTCTCTCCTCTCTGTCTCTATCTCCTCCATCTTCTCTCTCCCCTCTCTCATTCTATCTTCTCTCCTCTCTCTCCCCTCTTAGCATTCTCCTCCTCTGTCCCTCTCTTCCATCTCCACCTCTCTCTCTCTCTCCTCACGCTCTCTTCCACCTCTCTTCTATCCTCCCACTCTCTCTCCTCTATTCTATCTCTTCCTCTCTCTCTTCTCTCCCCTTTCTCTCTTGTCTCTCTCCCCCCTCGCTTCTATCTCTTCCTCCTCTCTCCCTTTCTCTCTCCTCACTTTCTCCTCTCTCGTCCACTCTCTCCTTCCATCTTCTCCCTCTCTCTCTCTCTCCCTTCCCCTCTCTCACTCTCTCCTCTCTCTCTCTCTCTCTTCTCTCTCTCCTCTCTCTTCTCCCCTCTCTATCTTCCTCCTCTCTTCTCCTTCTCTTTCTCCCCTCTCTATCTTCCTCCTCTCTCTCCTCACTCTCTCCATCCCCCCTTTCTCTCTCCCTCTCTCTCTTCCGTCTTCCTCCTCACTCCCCTATCTCTTCTATCTTTCTCCTCTTCTCTCTCTCCCTTCACTCAGTCTTCCACCTTTCTTCTATCCTCCCACTCTCTCCTCTCTCTCACTCCTTTCTATCTTCTCCTCTCTCTTCTATCTTCCTCCTCTCTCTCTCCTCTCTGTTCTATCTTCCTCCACTCTTTCTCCCCTCTCCCTTCTATCTTCCTCCTCTCTCTCTCTCTCTCTCCCTCTCTCTCACTCCCTTCTATCTTCCTCCTCTCTCTCCCCTCTTAGCATTTTCCTCCTCTGTCCCTCTCTTCCATCTTCCACCTCTCTCTCTCTCCTCACGCTCTCTTCCACCTCTCTTCCCTCTCTCCTCTATTCTATCCTCCTCCTCTCTTTCTCTCCCCTTTCTCTCTCATCTCTCTCCCCCCTCGCTTTTCTATCTTCCTCCTCTCTCCCCTTTCTCTCTCCTCACTCTCCCACTATACTTTGCCCTCTCTCTTCTATCTTCTTCGCCTCTCTCTCCTCACTTTCTCCTCTCTTTTATCTTCCTTCTCTCATCACTCTCTCCCCCTCTCTTGAACTCTCTTCTATCTTCCTCCTCTCTCCCCTTTCTCTCTCCTCACTTTCTCCTCTCTGTCCCACTCCTCTCTCTTCCATCTTCTTCCCTCTCTCTCTCTCTCTCTTTCCCCTCTCTCATCACTCTGTCCTCTCTCTCCCTCTCTCTATCTTCCTCCTCTCTCTCCTCACTTTCTCCCCTCTGTCCCACTCCTCTCTCTTCCATCTTCTTCCCTCTCTCTCTCTCTCCCCTCTCTCATCACTCTGTCCTCTCTCTCTCCTTCTCTTTCTCCCCTCTTCTATCTTCCTCCTCTCTCTCTCCCTCCTCTCTTTTATCCTCCTCCTCTCCCCCCTCTCTCTTCCATCTTCTTCCCTCTCTCTCTCTCCCCTCTCTCATCACTCTGTCCTCTCTCTCTCTCTATCTTCCTCCTCTCTCTCCTTCTCTTTCTCCCCTCTCTCCTCACTTTCTCCCCTCTTCTATCTTCCTCTTGTCTCTCTCCCTCCTCTTTTATCCTCCTCCTCTCTCTTCCATCTTCTTCCCTCTCTCCTCACTCTGTCCTCTCTCTCTCTCTCTCTTCCTCCTACTCGACTCTCTCCTCTCTTTCTCCTCTCTCTTTTATCTTCCTTCTCTCTTCCACCCCTCCCTCTCCCCACTCTTTTCTCCCTCTCTTCTACCCTCCCACTCTCTCTTTCTCTCTCTCTCCACTCTCTCCCTCCCTCCCTCCCTCCTTCCCTCGTGACTAATTATTTGTGTTTTTCCCCCTCTCCGTGAGCGAGCGGGCTGCATCCTGTCTTTCTCGGCCTCGGACAGAGCGCCGAGTGTGCGTGCGTGCTGATTGGCTCGTACCGTGCCGTCGTGAATCTGACTCGACGAACTTTCCAGGAGCAGCAGTTGTTTCTGGAAGAGCTGCGCGATGGCTTTGTGCACGAGCTCGTACTGCTCCTGAACACAGACAGACACAAAAACACAAAAACACAAAGACGAGGATGAGAGGAGACGAGTGCCGACGCAACGAGAGAAATACAACTAAACTGGGACTAATACTGGACCAATACAGAACTAAACCAGGACTAAACATCTGCGCTAGACTTGGGATGAGGTAGGATAAAATGGGACAAAAGTAGGACTAAAAGCCAAGACTAAACCAAGACTAAACCAAGACTAAACCAAGACTAAACTAGGAATGAAGAAGGATCAAATGGGCAATAGGAATGACTAATACAGGACTAAAGTATGGAAAAAAAAGACCCAAACCAGGCCCAAACCAGGCCCAAACCAGGCCCAAACCAGGACCAAACCAGGCCCAAACCAGGCCCAAACCAGGCCCAAACCAGGACCAAACCAGGACCAAACCAGGACCAAACCAGGCCCAAACCAGGCCCAAACCAGGACTAAGCTATGGAACCAAACCAGGACCAAACCAGGACCAAACCAAGACCAAACCAGGACCAAACCAGGACCAAACCAGGACCAAACCAGGCCCAAACCAGGACCAAACCAGGACCCAAACCAGGCCCAAACCAGGACCAAAACCAAGGACCAAACCAAGGACCAAACCAAACAGGCCCAAAACCAGGACCAAACCAGGACCAACCAGCCCAAACCAGCCCAAACCAGGCCCAAACCAGGACCAAACCAGGCCCAAACCAGGACCAAACCAGGACCAAGCTATGGAACCAAACCAGGACCAAACCAAGACCAAACCAGGCCCAAACCAGGACCAAACCAGGCCCAAACCAGGACCAAACCAGGACTAAGCTATGGAACCAAACCAGGACCAAACCAGGCCCAAACCAGGCCCAAACCAAGACCAAATCAGAACCAAACTAGGACCAAACTAGGACCAAACCAGGACCAAACCATGTAACCAAACCAGGCCCAAACCAGGCCCAAATCAGGACCAAACTAGGACCAAACTAGGACCAAAACAGGACAAAACCAGGACCAAACCAGGACCAAACCAGGACCAAACCAAGACCAAACCAAGACCAAACCAGGACCAAACCAGTCCCAAACCAGGACCAAACTATGGAACCAAACCAGGACCAAATTCAACACAAACAAAAACGAGAATAAGAGAAGAGAAGTGCAGACGTAACGAGAGACGAAGGAGCAAAAGGTAAACGCATAAGTGGAGGTGATGTGAGGTGAAAAAAACGAGCAAAACACTGAAGAAATGAAAACGTAACACGATAAATCAGGCATTTTTTTGACTATTTGGTGCTGAAATTGCTGTTTTGAAGATCTCGTACATTGTCTAGTTTTATAGCTTTTTAATGACGGGTTTTTACTACAGAAAAAGTACGCGAACGCTTTGATTTTTGTGTGTGTGTGTTTTAACAGCTCCTTTCACCTTTTGTTTAATTCCAAGGTTGAAATGTTTCTCGTGAAGGTGTATGGAGTTTAAAAACACAGTGGAGCACTTCCTGTATTACCACATGACATCACAAGGTGGGGTCGGTGTTTCAACTCTTTCTGCAGGTTTAGGAACTAATAACACAGATTCAGTTGTGATTGAAGTTCCTTTTTTAAAACCGTAAGAGCACAGACTACATACAGTTCCTTTTTAAAGAGGCTGGACAAAAAACATTTCTGATAAATACACTTTAAATGTTTTCAACCGGATAATCTCCCAGAAAAATAAACATTAATTTGTCAACAAAGAGAAACTGTACTGCAGGAAAATGAATGCATGTGACTGTAATTTGATGTGTGAGAGGTTTGTTTAACAGCACAAATCAGCTGAATAGGGATGGGCATGATTAGTCGATTAATCGATAATTGATCATTAAGAATTTCATTGATTACGTTCATTTTAATCGACAAACCAAATGTGTCTCTCTGCACTCAGAAGGAGCGAGACACAAACAGTCGGTCAGTCTACAACGTGCAGAAGCACAAATGCATATTTAACGATGATTTGTACAAGAAATTCCAGGCTTTCTGTTCTGGTCAGGACAAGTGTGAGTCCATGTGCACAGTGTATAAAGCAGCACAGATGTTTCGGTGTCCAGTGGGAAAAAGTTCACCAGGACACCAAAAACATTAAAAAGTTTTTCCAGGTGAGAGTCGCTCAATGTCGATGACGAGTCCCCACCTCCCTCCCCCCGTACAGTGTCCTGGGTTTTGACAAACGCAAATCTGGTCACACTAACCTGTATTCACCTGAGTCGTGTCGCATCAGCGACACAAGAACTGTTTTTCTTCGCTTAGTTTATGCAAATTAGCAATGTGGTTTTAAGTTTCGTTTCTGTGAGAGTTGCACAAAACTGAATTAAACACATTATAATGTCAAACGGGCTGATGTGGCTCTAGAGTGGTTACAGTTTATATGTCGTAAAGTTTAATTTATTTATGCAGATTAGTAGTGCAGATAGTAATAATAATGATGATCATTTTAATATAAAAACATTAATGATTAATCGATAATCCATCATTAATTCTCCCGACGATCGTTAAGAAAATTTTATCAAATGCCCATCCCTACAGCTGACTTCTTGTAGTTCCAACAAAGTACTGTATTTTTCGGACTATAAGTCGCACTTTTTTCATGGTTTGGGTGTTTCCTGTGACTTATATATTTAAATTTTCACATTGGCAGCCATGAGAGACTCTAGTCTTGTGTGTCAGCATCATGCCATTTCTCCTGTACCACTGTCACTTGGCTCTACTGCGCATGTCTCCTGCAGAAAGAGCCTCTGTTCTGCTGCAAGTTGTGAAATATTCAGCCGAAAACAGTAATCGAGCAGCAGAAAGAAAGTTTGCAGTGAGTGAGAAACTTGTGAGGGACTGGAGGAAAGGGGAGATGGAGAACACAGCTTCACGGCAACCGGGAGGATGTAACATGAAACTTTCCTGGAGTCACTGGATGGACGGACAAAGCCTGGACTTCAGTGACACCGAAACCATCCTGTTGGGAATCAGAAAGGCCGGAATAATTCTAACTGGAACTGATGCTGAGTCTGAAGACAGCGACACAGAAGAGGAAGCGGCGTCTGTTTACCTCCGGAGGTCGTGGAGTTGCTCAGAAGTGACACCGAGGATGAAGAATTGAATGGATTTAGTGATTTGGAGTGAGATGGAGAGTTTGTTAAACTTGTTCTGTTCTGTTGTTTATGTTATAGTTTATCTGAAGAACTGTTCATATGTGACGTTAACAGTCTGTTGTTCTCTCTTCTATTGTTTTTACTAGAACTTGACTTTTAAGATGAAATGTCTGCTCCTGGTCTCTGACTTTATAAACAAAATTTCCCCCAAAAAGTGCGACTTATAAGATTTTTTCTTCTTCATTTTGCATTTTTTGGCTGGTGCGACTTATAGTCCAAAAAATACGGTAAATGTTTTCTAGTCATGTTGCTTTAAAATAAAACAAGATTGAGTGTAATTTGAGTAACAGAGCTTCAGACAGAGCAGTGCCAACAGTTAGAATATTGACAACATTTGCTGCAAAGTGTCAATAATCCGCAGTATAATCGTGTGAAAAGTTGTTATGAAAAGAATAAAGTGAGTAGTAGCTGTTAGTTTGTATTAAAATGTCCTGCGTGTGTGTAAGATTTTTACAAAAACGCCAGTAAAAGCAACAGATCTCGTCTTTAAAAGCAGCAAACACTCTGTACTATTCAAACGTGTTTTTGAATTGGCCTTCGCCCAAAAGTCTTTATGTACAGAGCTGATGATCACTGTGTGCAAACAGAGAAACAGACTTCACACACGCACAGCTCGAGTAATCCTGCTCCAGCGCTCGGAAAAACAACACACACGGGCATTCAGGACGTTTACTGTAGCGCCGTTTAAACAGGATGAAACCAGGACAAAACCAGGACTAGAACTAGACTAAACCAGGACTAGAACTAGACTAAACCAGGACTAGAACTAGACTAAACTAGACTAAACCAGGACTAGAACTAGACTAAACCAGGACGTGGCTACACAAAACCTGAACCAAAGCACAACTGAAATAGGACCAACTTAAAATTTCAATAGGCTAAAATAGAACTAAATTAAGACTAATACTGGACCAATACCGAACTAAACCAAGACTAAAACTAGACCTGAGATGTGGTAGGATAAAATGGGACAAAAGTAAAAGACAGGACTAAACCTGGACTAAACCAAGACTAAACAAGGAATGAAGAAGGATCAAATGGGCCATAGGAATGACTAATATAGGACTAAACTATGGAAAAGAAAAGGACTAGAAAAGGACTAAATCAGAACAAAACCAGGACCAAACCAGGACTAAGCTATGGAACCAAAACCAGGACCAAAGCCTGACCAAAGCAGGACAGAATTAGGCCCAAACCAGGCCCAAACCTGGACCAAATCAGGACCAAACCAGCACGAAAGCAGGACTAAACCAGGACTAAGCTATTGAACCAAACCAGGACCAAACCTGGACCAAAGCAGGACCAAGATATAGAACCAAACCAGGCCCAAACCAGACCCAAGGCAGGCCCAAACCAGGCCAAAACCCGGACCAAATTATGGAACCAAAGCAGTACCAAAAACAGGCCCAAACCAGGACCAAATCAGGACCAAACCAGGACCAAGCTATGGAACCAAACCGAGACCAAAACAGGCCCAAACCAAGACCAAAGCAGAACCAAGCTATGGGACCAAACCAGGACTAAACCAGTACCAAACCAGGACCAAGCTACGGAACCAAACCACAACTAACCTATGGAACCAACTCAGGCCCAAACTTGGCCCAAACATGGCCCACACCAGGACCAATCTATGGAACTACACCAGCATCAACCCAGGCCCAAACTAAAACCAAACCAGGACTTAAACTAAGAAAGTGGAAGGTATCAAATGGGACAAACCAAGGTCTAAAAAACAGCATAAACTAATGTCTAAACCAGGACTAAAAGAGGACTAAATCAACAGTAAACACAGAACTAGAACTGTAATTTAAATCCATAATCCAGGACTAAACCAGGACCAAACCAGCACTGAACAAACCGCGCCTTCATGTCTGTACGCACGTTTAATCCAATTAAATTTCTCTCCAAACAGACGCAAAAAAACGCCCCTCGATTTATGAAATTTCATTACTGCCGCATCCGCCTGTGGATTTCAGGTCAAAACGCTGAAGTCCGTGTTTGTATCATTCAGACGCTTTTACATCATCTCAGCTCAGCGTTAAAAACAAAAGCTCACACACACCAGGAAATCGTACCACAGGGATTTTCCAGGACACAGATTCTCTACAGCTCCACTAAAAGACTAATGTGTTTATGTTTATTATATCAACTATTTTTATCCTGCAAGGGTTAAAACGGAAAATGTAATAGCTACTTTCTCTACTGAATAGGTCTTTTTTGTAAATTTATTTGAACATTTAACACACAAAACAACAAAAATAAAACCTTTACATATGTAACACGTTGTAGGTTAGGTGGGCTGACTCAAAAATTAATAGACAAAAGTATTAATAGACAAAAAACAAAAGATATATGGGAACAGAAAATATGTAAATACACATTTGATTTCTTTATTTATTTGTTTATTTTTCTTTATTGTTCTTTCGTTGTTTGTTTTGTTTCTGTATGTGTGTTAGGTCTTATATTTTGTTATGTCCATTTTGTTATTAAACCCAAACCAGGCGCAAACCAGGGCCAAACCAGGGCCAAACCAGGACCAAACCAGGACCAAACCAGGACCAAACCAGGACCAAACCAGGACCCAAACCAGGACCAAACCAGGACCAAAACCAAACCAAACCAGGACCAAACCAGGACCAGGACCAAACCAGGACCAAACCAAACCAACCAAACCAGACCAAACCAGGACTAAGCTATGGAACCAAACAGGACCAAACCAAAACCAAACCAGGACTAAGCATGGAACCAAACCAGGACCAAACAGGACAAACAGGACCAAGCTATGGACCAAACCAGGACCAAACCAGGACCAAACCAGGACCAAGCTATGGAATCAAATCAGATCCAAACCAGGACTAAGCTATGGAACCAAACCAGGACCAAACCAGGACCAAATCCAGGACCAAATCCAGGACCAAACCAGGAAAAGGCCAAACAAGAAACCAAACCAGGACCAAACCAGGCCAAGATATGGAACCAAATCAGGACCAAACCAGGAAAAACCAAACCAGGACTAAGCTATGGAACCAAACCAGGACCAAACCAGGACTAAATCAGGACCAAGCCATGGACCAAACCAGGACCAGGCTATGGAACCAAACCAGGCCCAAACCAGGACCAAACCAGGAAACAAACTGAACCAAAACAAGATCAGCTACAGACAAATCAGGACCAAACCAGAACCAAACCAGGACTAAGCTACGGAACCGAAACCAGGACAAAACCAGGACCAAAACAGGACTTAAACTAAGAAATTGGAAGGCATCAAATGGGACAAACCAAAGTCTAAAAAAACAGGATAAACTAAAGGCTAAACCAGGACTAAAAGAGGACTAAATCAGCACGAAACACACAACATCAAAAAGTATGAGGTCCTCTGCTCTGTGGAAGCCTAAATAGATCAAAATAAATCAATCAATCTGTCCATTTAACACACAAAACAACAAAAATAAAACCCTTGCAAATGAAAGTTTTCATTTTGACATTTTCTTTTTTCATGTTTAAAAAAGTACTACCCCGATTCATCAAATATGTCTAATATGGATTATATTTTCTAATCATTTTATCTTCTAATATTACTTTGCTAAACATTTTTACATCGAGTTGCTTTTAGGAAACAAACCTTGGTCTGAACAGCCGAGTGTCTTTGCGTCCTCATTTCCTGGATTAACCGAAACACGTTAAAATCTTCTGGAATTTTCTGAAAAGCAAAAAAAAAAACGTCATTACTAAAAAATGACTGCAAAAGTGTGTAAGACAGACAGATATGTTTAAATAAAATAAGGCTGAAATGGATTTGTGAGAGTGTGAATGACTGACCCCGGCTTTGAGCAGGTTCCATGTGTAGTCAATGGCACAGATGGCTCCGGTCCGCCCACATCCAGCACTGAAACCATAAAAATATGATAAATATGAAGCTCAAACGGAAGACATATATAAAAAAAAACAAGTAAAGGCAAGGCAAGTTTATTTGTACAGCACAATTCGTACACAAAGTAATTCAAAGTGCTTTACAGAATAAGAAATACATTAAAATCATAATAAAAACAAATCAAAACATAAATAATCATGAAGATTAAAATTAAAAAAGAGAGACATAAATTGGAGAGAAGAGTGCAGAATGAAAACCTTTCAGTTATATGCACAGTTAAACAGAAATGTTTTGAGTCTGGATTTAAACAGCGTCACAGAAGAGTCTGTCTCACATGTTCAGACTGTTCCAGGTTTTAGCTGCATGAACCTGAAACTCTGACTCCCCTTGTTTAGTCGTGACTCTGGGCACCAGCAGGAGGCCGGTCCCTGAGCTCCTCAGAGTGTGAGATGTTCATATGACACTAACATGTCACAGATGGACTTTGGTGCTCGGCCATGGAGACACTTGTACAAGCAGAGCTGCTTTAAAGTCTCTGAGCACAGGAGCCAGTGCAGAGACCTGAGACACAGGACTTATGTGCTCGTACTTCCTAGTTCGAGTCAGGACCCGAGCTGCAGCGTTCTGGATGTTCTGGATGTTCTGCAGCGTCTCACAGCTCGTTTGGAGAGACCAGTGAGCAGAACATTACAGTATCTAACCTACTGGAGACAAACGCATGGATAAGTTTCTCCAAGTCTGATTTAGACAGTAAACCTTTGATTTTTGCTATGTTTTTTAGATGGTAAAAGGCTGCAGATGTTATTGATTTGATGTGACTGTTAAAGTTCAAGTCTGAGTCCATTATTACCCCTAGATTTCTTGCCTGATTTGAAGGTTTTAGAGAGAGAGACTGGAGGTGACTGCTGACACTGTCCCTTTGTTTCTGTGGACCAAACACTATGACTTCAGTCTTGTCAGAGTTTAGCTGGAGAAAGTTGTTTTGCATCCACACACTGATCTGTTGGATGCAGTGACAAAGTGAGTCCACTGGTCCATAGTCTCCTGCTGCCAGAGAGACGTAGATCTGAGTGTCGTCTGCATAATTGTGGTACGACACGTTATTGCTGCTTATTAACTGGCCTAATGGCAGCATGTAGAGATTGAACAACAGGTAAAGAGGGATTCTAAAGGTTTACAAAGTCAGAAAACGAGGGAGACATTTTGGTTTAAAGGTGCATTGTGTAACGTCAAATGATTTTCTCCAGGGAGATTTTATTGCGTTGTCTGGAATGTTTCGCCGTGTCGCATTAAATATTTTAATTATAGGACTAAACTGTGGTTAAAGTCGAGAAAAAAAAAGGACTAGAAAAAGATCAAACCAGAAACAAATCAGGACCAAGCTACGGAACCAAACCAGGACCAAAACAAGAGCGAATTAGGACTAAATTAGGACCAAGACAGGATCAAACCACACCAGGACCAGACCAGGACTAATTGAGGACCAAACCAGGATCAAAATAGGACTATACCAGGAGGAAATTAGGACCAAATTAGGACCAAACCAGGATCAAACCACACCAGGACGTAATTAGGGCGAAATTGGGACCAAATTAGGACCAAATTAGGACCAAACAAGGACCACACCACACCAGGACCAAACCAGGATGAAATTAGGATCAAACCAGGACGAAATTAGGTCCAAATTAGGACCAAACCAGGATCAAACCAGGACCGAACGCCCGTGTAGACTGTCAGGTGATCAAGATACCAGGATCAGACTGGGACCAGACGAGGACTGAGACGAGGACTGAGAACGGGAGACGAGACTGAGACTGAGGACTGAGACAAGGACTGAGACGAGGACTGAGACCTGAGTTCAGTTCTGGTTTAGAGCTGTTCAGGTTTAGAGTCTGTTCAGTCAGTCTGGTTCAGTCCTGTTCAGTCAGTCCTGTTTCAGTCCTGTTTCAGTCCTCAGTTTCAGTCCTGGTTCAGTCCTGGTTCAGTCAGTTCCAGTGGTTCAGTCCTGGTTCAGTTCTGTAGTCCTGGTTCAGTCCTGGTTCAGTCCTGGTTCAGTCCTGGTTCAGTCCTGTTCAGTCCTGTTTCAGTCCTGTTTCCTCAGTCCTGGTTCAGTCCTGTTTCAGTCCTGTTTCAGTCCTGGTTCAGTTCCTCAGTTCCTGGTTCAGTCCTGTTTCAGTTTCAGTCCTGGTTCAGTCCTGGTTCAGTCCTGGGTTTCAGTCCTGGTGTCAGTCCGTTTCAGTCCTGGTTCAGTCCTGGTTCAGTCCTGGTTCAGTCCTGGTTCAGTCCTGTTTCAGTCAGTCACAGTTTAAGTCACGGAAATGGGAAACGGTTATCAGTCTTTTTCCATTATTGATTTAAACACAAAATCAAAAAACGAATCATTATCCGTTTTTTAACTTTGGTTTTGGAGACAAATAATGAAGAAAACTGTTTTTTTTCCGTTTTCTTATTTTTGTTTTATACTGAAAAACGAATGAACGAGTGATACACGTTAGATTCGTTCCGTATCGTGACAAGTCCGGCTGTTTGCGTTCCTTAATATTTGTGCACACGCCTTCCTCTGCCCGTATAATTCCCACATAAACCCGTGGTAATCCTCTCGTGCTCTTGCCTTTTCCTATAGACACCTGCCGACAGGATGCAGACAGTAGCCACAGAAGCAGCGGGAGCGCATGAAATCGTATTATCTCACACACTCACAAAGAGCTGAGCCAGACTCGCACGCCGCGCTTTTCCATAAACCATAATGTACAGCAGCCCACATAAAGAGCTATCTGCACACGCACCACTTTAAGCCCGACACGGAGAGAGACGGAGGGAGACGGAGGGAGAGAGGATCCAGGAAGTATCCCCGGGCGACTTGTTAGCGATGATTACACACACATGGATCCAGCCACAACAGCAAAACAAATCATTTTCTACTGTTTAAGGACGCGCTTTTTCCTGTATTGGAGTGGAGATGTGTTGTATAAGCAGCTCTCGAGGTCAAAATAAATCTGCTGTGTTCCGTTTACATCTCATTACAAAACTTAAAAGGTGCATTGTGTAACTTTTCTGGTGCAGGGTCCGTCAAATGTGTTTCTTCGTCTGGAATGTTTCACGGTATTGTATTAAATCTTTCTATCTTCGTGGAGACCAAGTTACAGGTCGGATCTGTGGCCGTTTTTTAAAGGGACAGTCCGGAATTTTGGACATAGGACCTCGTTTCCTCGTGAGCCAGAGTGTTGGAAATGTGTGGAGACATTTTTTTAAATATTCCATCAAGTCCATGTGTTTGCAGAGGTCACAATAAAAACAGTCTTACCCACTCCACAAAACACCCGAAGAAAATCTGTTATTACACCAGACTGTCCATGTAAATGTGTGTGTTGATAGAATAATGTTAGAAGTAGGGATGGGCATTCGATGAAATTTTCTTAATCGATCGTCGGAAGAATTAACGATCGATTATCGATTAATCATTAACGTTTTTATACTAAAACGATCATCATTATTATTACTATCTGCACTACTAATCTGCATAAATAAATTCAACTTTACGACATATAAACCGTAACGACTCTAGAGCCACATCAGCCCGTTTGACATTATAATGTGTTTAATTCAGTTTTGTGCAACTCTCACAGAAACGAAACTTAAAACCGCATCGCTAATTTGCATAAACTCAAGCGAAGATAAAACTACAGCTCTTGTGTCGCTGATGCAGTTCAATTAAAAGACATGACTCAGTGGAATACAGGTTAGTGTGATCATATTTGCGTTTGTCAAAACCAGGACACCGTACGGGGGGAGGGAGGTGGGGACTCGTCATCGACATTGAGCGACTCTCACCTGGTAAAACTTTTTCCCACTGGACACCGAAACATATGTGCTGCTTTATACACTGTGCACATGGACTCACACTTGTCCCGAACGCAACAGAAAGCGTGGAATTTCTTGTACAAGTCATAGTTAAATACACATTTGTGCTTCGGTACGTTGCAGACTGACCGACTGTTTGTGTCTCGCTCCTTCTGATGCAGAGAGACACATGTACAGACCTGTTTGGTCACGCTACACAGAGCAAACCTACATTCAGGTTTGTCGATTAAAATGAACGTAATCGATGAAATTCTTAATGATCAATTATCGATTAATCGACTAATCATGCCCATCCCTAGTTAGAAGTAAAACCAAACTTGTATTTGAAGGATTTATGTCTGAGCAGCAGCAGCACTGAGTTGTACTTCCTGATAGAAAGCTCGGCAGCGGCGGACTGATATATGAGAAAATAGTCCCTCAACATGCGACGATTCATGCGATGCAAGATTAGTTTTATTTCAAACATTATTCTATCAACACAGATATTTACATGGACAGTCTGGTGTAATAATAGAGTTTGCTTCTTGTGATATGGATTTTTTTGCGGCTGATATAATACCGATAAAACAGGAGTTGGATATAAAAGCCGATATATTCACTTTAAATCTTCAATTGATTATAAAAATTAGGTCTGGTTCTATTGGATTTTAAATTGGGTTTGTTTAGCCGACATTTATTGTTATTCTGACTCTTTACAATCATATTTAAAGACAGTAGGTCGGACTAATGGCATTTTTGCATCACATTCTAGCCTGTAAACAAAGTAAACTACCGCTCTCAGCCTTTAGCGATAAATGCGTGTGCGCCCCAGTAATTATTTGTATGTGTAAATGTCGATCATTCACGCCTCTATTCACAGCTCATTAACATGTCAATGCAGATCCAATGATGTGTGTACAGACACTATAGTGACTTTACACTAGGCTAATGTAAGAAAACAGACTGTTTACGTGAACCAAAAGTAACTTCAAAACCAACACATTTGCAACACTCAGCGCTCACACAGGCTCCTCTCAGATCACAAGTCTGCACTAATAAGGGTCATTTCAATCATGACTCAAACCGACTATGCATAAAAATAATATAATCCAGCACGTTGACAGCAGCTGTGTGTGTCCTCTCTTTTCTGCACTCGCACTTTGCTAAAAACAGGGACAGCGCACAAGTTTTACATTAACCATAACAGGAGAGATGCATTTCCACCTGTCGTCCCTGGGCAGATTCATTGATTGATTGTATGTAACTGACCTTGACTATCAACTGTTCTTCCTGGAGACCTGTAGCATGTTCTGGGTTGATGGGAGAAACCGGAGCGCCGGGAGGAAACCCATCCAGACACGGGGAAAAACATGGAAACTCAACATAGAAAGGCCTGGGCGACCCGGGGATCGAAACCAGGAACCTTCCCGCTGTGAGGCAAGAGTACAAGACACTCAGCCACCACGCCATCTGCGTTGAAGTTCACTTTTATTTATCGTCAGTATCTCGGATCAGACACAACAGCGTTTAAAGCAGCGCCTCAGTGTTTGCGCACATGGATCTGTGGTTGCGCACTGGTGTAAACAAGTGCACAGACTAATTACTCCGCAGATAAATACTGATGCAGCGCCACATATTAGGACATTTATCTGTCTGTAAATCGGATTAAATGGGTATAATATAGAGAGTCTAAGCTTTATAATGAGGTATAACATGCTCACGTGGACTATCGGCACATATCAGCAAGATTAAAGCCGATAGCCGATGTCTCCAAGTGCCCAAATCAGCAGATAATATCGTCCGGGCCCTAATAATAATATAATAAAACCTTTGAGTCTCAGAAACCGGGTGAGTTACTGTCATGATTACACACAAACGGAGCCAGCCTCAGCAGATGAGCACATGGTGTTTGGTGCTGTTAATGTCAGCTCTCCACACTCAGCTCATGTGGTCATTATCTGCAGCTCATCGGCCTGACAGTCTACACTTACACAACCACAGCGGACCAGCTAAGAGCGACAAACAGCAAGAAGGTCCCACGTTCTATTTCCAAACTGGACAGACTTTTTTCTCTCTATGTGGAGTTTGTCTTCCAGTTTCTATTAAAGATGCACCAACCGTTCCAGCTTTTCCAGTTCTTGATAAATACTCTGACAGCGGATAACCCCTGACACTGACATTTAATAGTGACATTTAAATCATTTAGGGTTATCAAATGTATCGAAAAACAGACACGAGTCGATACTAAAACTAATATCGGAACCAGAAAAGCTTCAGAATGATCTTCAGATTCAAATAACTATTATTATTATTATTAATCCCACCAGGAATAACCCGGAGTGTTGGGATGGGCCCAGATGTGCCTGCGTAGACTGCAGGATGATCAGGAATCTGGGACCAGACTGAGACCAGACTGAGACCGGGACTGAGACCGGGACTGAGACCGGGACTGAGACCAGACTGAGACCAGACTGAGACCGGGACTGAGACTAAACCAGGACTAAAGCAGGACAGAAGCAGGACAGAAGCGGGACTAAAGCAAAATTAAACCAGGACTAAAAGCAGGACTAAACCAGGACTGAACCAGGACTGAACCAGGACTAAAGCAAAACTAAACCAGGACTAAAGCAGGACTGAACCAGGACTAAAGCAGGACTGAACCAGGACTAAAGCAGGACTGAACCAGGACTAAAGCAAAACTAAACCAGGACTAAAGCAAAACTAAACCAGGACTAAAGCAGGACTGAACCAGGACTTAACTAGGACTAAAGTGGGACTGAACCGGGAGTAAACCAGGACTAAATCCTGGACTAAAGCAAAAAAACCAGGACTAAAGAAGGACTAAAGAAGTATTGAACAAGGACAAAAGCAAGACTGAATCAGGACTGAATCAGGACTGAATCAGGACTTAACCAGGACTTAACCAGGACTTAACCAGGACTTAACCAGGACTTAACCAGGACTTAACCAGGACTGATCCAGCTCTACAGGAGAAGTAAACTGACTCAGGAAAAAAAACAAGTAGGGAGTAAAACTTCACTAGTACTAAAGTTAAACTCAACTTGGACTAAAGCAGGACTGAACCAGGACTAAAGTGGGACTGAACCAGGACTAAACCAGGACTAAAGCAAAACAAAACCAGGACTAAAGAAGTATTGAACAAGGACAAAAGCAGGACTGAATCAGGACTGAATCAGGACTGAATCAGGACTGAATCAGGACTAAACCAGGACTAAACCAGGACTAAACCAGGACTAAACCAGGACTAAACCAGGCTAAAACCAGGGCTAAACCAGGACTAAACCAGGACTAAACCAGGACTAAACCAGGACTGATCCAGCTCTACAGGAGAAGTAAACCGACTCAGGAAAAAAACAAGTAGAGAGTAAAACTTCACTAGGACTAAAATTAAACTCAGTTGGGACTTAAAGCAGGACTAAACCAGGACTACAGCAGGAGTAAAGAGGACTGAACCAGGACTAGACAAAGCATCAACATCTCCGTGGAGAAAAGCGTTTGACGGATCCACCACCAGAAAAGTTTCACAATGCACCTGTTACGTCTGTGTAGTCCAGATAATGATCAAGATGAGAAAATACAACTACGATTATTTTTTATAGTCGATAAGTCATTATTAGTCGATTAATCACTGCAGCCCTTCTTCTTATAACATGAAAACTGTCCGTTCTGACCTCAGTGTTTTTTATAAAGGTAAACAAGTGTCTCACGTGTATTAAAAGAAGCACTTGTTCTTATTGATTCACCAACATCACAGTCGATAGAGGAGAAAAGAACAAGCGGCTACAGCTGCGAGTACAACATGAGTTTGTGTCCTATTGACTCGCTGTACTGATACTTTTCCATCTGATGCCATCAACATTCCCTGGGGGTGTGATGCTAAATGTAGGCACTGCTCTGTCTGGATCTTTGTTGCTCAACTTTAAAGGTGAGTTGTGTAAGGCTGAACGATCTGTCGTTTTGGACCGAAAATCGCAGACAACACCATTTTGGGAGCATCAAAGCCACGTTTTTTGCAGTGCTCCTAAAGCCCGATTTATAGATTTATGGGTCAGAGTCGAGGTCCATGCACCACGAAGTAATTCACCGCCACAATGCAATGGGAGGAGGCGAGGATTTAAATCTGGACTTCATGTAAAGTTTAACACGAACCACCTCCAACGCGACAGAAGCACAGAACAGACTCACCATCATCAGCACATCCTCTATCACAGAAACCAGTTTAAAATGAAAGAACCCACGTATCACCATATCGGAAACGATCTGCGTCCTCACGTCATTTCTGTGACCGCAACTCTTCCTTATGCACACAGCTTTGAGCATATTTGTTTAAGTTTTTACAGAGACGAGACTTAAAACCACATGGCTCATTTGCATAAACTGAGCGCTCAATAAACATCTCGCTATTGTGCATTGATGCGGTTCAGCTTCTGTCGGACTAAAGGACACGACTCAGTGGAATATGAGTGTTCTTTCTGCGACAGAGGATGTGCTGCTGATGGTGAGTCTGTTCTGTGCTTCTATTGCGTTGGAGATGATTCATGTTAAACTTTTCAGAAATTATACGTCTGCAGGTCGTACACACAGACACACGTTTATATAAAAGGACATATATTCTAGCCTCTTAGCGTTTTGGCGGTGAATTACTTTACGGCGCATAGACCTACATCAGCGTATCAACGTTTTCAGGCGTCCACACGGTGCCCGATCAGATCTGTACTCAGATGAATTCATGGGAGCTGGAGGCACCAGATCGTTCCGTCTCTGGAGCCATTTTCAATCGGATTAGTGCGAACCAACACTGCATCCGCAACAAAAACAACTTGAATACGGACTAGTGTGGATGGGACCAGATAGAACACTCATATTCCACTGAGTCATGTCCTTTAGTCTGACAGAAGCTGAACCACATCAGGGCACAAGGAAAGAGCTGTTTTTTTTTCCCAGTGCTTATAGTTTATGCAAATTATTAATGTGGTTTAAAGGAAGGAAAGAAAGGAAAGCAGAGTACAGGAAATAGCTGTAGAGCGGACCTAGAGAGGACCGATCACAGCTCTTATTGTCTGCATCGTTTTGACACATAGCTCAAAAATTTTGGAGGTGCACGTGGTCGAAACAGATGGTCTGCGTGGGGGGTTCATGTCGACGCAGACTCTCCACATCGTGAGGCAAACGATTTGACACTGGAACATAAAATGGGCTATACTGTCCAGTGTCTAATTGTCAGTGCAGGACTCTGGTATGATGCAAGTTTCTGTGATGTTTGCAAATGTTCATGTGCACTGAAACTTGATTTGAAAAAAATAGTGTATGAAATCGAAATCGCAATATCTGCCAGAAAAGTCACAATTCAATTTTTTCTTAAAATCATTCAAGTCCTCGAGTTGTCTAACTTTTCTGTTGGAGCGTCTGCCAAATGCTTTTTTTCCATGTAGATCTTATTGCTTTTCCTGGAATGTTTCACAGTATGGCATTAAACCTTTCCATCTTCACTGAGACCAAACCAGACCAAGTTACAAGTCAGATCTGTGGTGATCTGTAGTGAGAATGTGTATTTTTCTAGGTGTTTTTGAGCTCTAAAACACCTATAACTGAATAAATGTAAAGTAGAGGTGTTTAATGTCATACTGTGGAACATTCCAGGCAGAGCAATGACATTTCCATAGAAACAAGCAGGTGATGGACCCTCAACCAAAAAGTTACACAGTGCACCTTTAATCTGAGCTCGCATGATCACAGGCTTCTGAAAATGTGCTGTTTAAATCCATTTTGCTCAGACTTTTCTTTAAAACTCTTCGACAGTGTTTGCCAATACGTGCATTGTGTCACCACGGTAACTCCTAAACATTCCACCAGTAGAGATATGTGTAGAACTCCCCCAGTCCCAGTATCTGTGGCGAGGGACCTACCTGCAGTGCACACATATAGGGACATCGTCGTGCTCCTGGTATTCTCGCATCAGTCCGATCATGTCCAGGATGGAGTCAAACGAAGAGGGGACGTCGTGGTCGGGCCAGTTCATGTAGTGAAACTGGGTTATTCTCCTCGTCTCCTGGAAAAAAATAAAATAAATTAAATGAATAAATCACAAATGTGAAAGTTTAAATGTCCCATCTCATGCAAAATCAACTTTTCAGAGCTTTCTACCTTCTAAGAGTGATGTGTGGGCTTTGTATTTGTCGCCGAAGTGTTTTTTAGATTGATTCGGTGTTTTTTTTAACAAATTGCAGCGTATTTCTGCCACCCTCCCGCGTGACAACGAACTAAAGCTGCTACAACGATGACGCGGCAGACACACCTATGACGCGTTTGACGTAGCAGAAAACATCCCGCCGCCTCCACCCAGCCAGTGCACACGATATAATAAGTTTATTTACTAGTGTTTATTAATACTTTACCAATCAGTAATGTTCAGCTGATGTTGACGCGGTGCTTGAGCTTCGTGCACCTCAAAGTCCTCGTCCGATTCCGGGTCCAACACATGCGGCTGAACGCACTCTATCTCCATGATGAATAAAAGTTTATTCCCGTCACTATCAGGGTGCACGTCTGTCTCCCCCTCCCTCCCTGAGATGGCGGAGGAAGGGCGACTCACTCAGAGCCTACGTCACATTTGGAGGGCGGAGCCTGTGCTTTATCAGGACGGGCAGGGGGAGGAGCAATAGTTGGACTTTCATAGTTCCTTGGTCTGGTCTTTCATAACTATTGTGTAATGAATGTTCCAAAACCCAAATTGTGCTTGTTTATGTGCAGAAGATACAATGTGAAAACAATTATTTTGCATGAGATGGGCCCTTTAAAGGAACTGTATGTAAGATTAAAACTAGAAATACCATAAATATGAACTAACTGCATCTTTAGATTGAAGGTTCAAATGTTCAAATCAAAAGCTGCTCTGGGAACAATTGTAAAGCTGATTTATTCTTAATTACAAAAACATTGGACATAATGGACAAGTTGTTTATGTTATAATTTTACATTTTGTTTCTCAAGACAATTATCTAATCAGAAAGCAGAATGAGTCACACACGAATGTCTTATTTGCGTTGCCAGGTCCAATGCTGAAATCCAGCTGGTTTAAACCTAAAATGTCTCTTTCTGATCTGAACGGTCTCTATCTAAACCTGCAGACAGTCATGAGTCAGTGCTAGTGCGGCCTCTGCAGCTCAAGGAGGGGATTCTGGAGGTTCTGAGCTTTCACATGAGCTGTGCCCATGAACTAAGAATGAGACAAACATGTACAGTGGTCCCTCGTTTATCGCGGGGGTTACGTTCTAAAAATAACCCGCGAAAGGTGAAATCCGTGAAGAAGTCAACTTTATATTTTACAAGTATTATATCTGTTTTAAGGTTTTAAAACATCTCACCACACACTTTATACACTGTTCTCACACAGGACAGTTACAACACTTTTTACATCTTTCTTAAAACTTATTGCTGCTGTCGTCCTTTTGTTATTTTCCTCCTTCTTTATGTAACGAACCCAAGATTAATTTATTCCATAATGACGCCTACACCCGCCTAACTTCTAGCTTCCTTCAGCGTGTCCAGAAGTCCAACTTTTTGTGCGATGGTTTGCGTCTTCCTCTGCCTTTTAGGTGCGACCGCAGGAGCCTTTGTCAGTGTAGAAAGTTTCGTCGACATTGTGGGTTTTGTCAGGGAGAAAACTTGCAAACATACAGCACTTCAGAATCACACTGACAGAGATCGAACATTTATGTAAATTTGGCAAACTTAACCCTTTTTTTTTTTTGTACTGTACAGGAGACACGGCAGGTCTGAGTTGACAGGTCTACAGTCCCTTAGTCAATCAAGACACAGCATTCATACTAGGGATGGGCATTCGATTAAATTTTCTTAATCAATCGTCGGGAGAATTAACGATCGATTATTGATTAATCATTAACGTTTTTATATTAAAATGATCATCATTATTATTACTATCTGCACTACTAATCTGCATAAATAAATTCAACTTTATGACATATAAACTGTAACGACTCTAGAGCCACATCAGCCCGTTTGACATTATAATGTGTTTAATTAGTTTTTTTTGCTCAACTCTCACAGAAACAAAACTTAAAACCACATCGCTAATTTGCATAAACTCAGCAAAGAAAAAAAACAGCTCTTCTGCACTGATGTGGTTCAATTTCTGTCGGACTAAAGGACACGACTCAGTGGAATACAGGTTAATGTGACCATATTTGTGTTTGTCAAAACCAGGACACCGTACGGGGGAGGGAGGTGGGGACTCGTCATCGACATTGCGCGACTCTCACCTGGTAAAACTTTTTCCCACTGGACACCGAAACATATGTGCTGCTTTATACACTGTGCACATGGACTCACACTTGTCCCGACCAGAACGGAAAAAGGGGAATTTCTTGTACAAGTCATCGTTAAATGCACATTTGCACTTCGACATGTTGCAGACTGACCGACTGTTTGTGTCTCGCTCCTTCTGAGTGCAGAGAGACACATGTACGGACCCCGTTTGGTCACACTACGCACAGCAACCTACATTCGGTTTGTCGATTAAAATGAACGTAATTGATGAAATTCTTAATGATCAATTATCGATTAATTGACTAATCATGCCCATCCCTAATATGAATGTAAAAAATCTGCCCCGTTCCCCTCCGTTACCAGTTGACTGGACCCATATGTGCTGCTTTGTTCACTGTGCACATGGACTCACACTGGTCCCGACCGGAACGGAAAGCGTGGAATTTCTTGTACAAGTCATCGTTAAATGTGCATTTGTGCTTCGGCACGTTGTAGACTGACTGACTGTTTGTGTCTCGCTCCTTCTGAGTGCAGAGACACATGTATATGTTGTCCCTGGACACCGACGTTTGGTTGCCCTACGCTACGCTCAGCAACCTACATTCGGTTTATCGATTAAAATGACCGTAATCGACTAATGCCCATCCCTAGTTCATACACTGTAAAAATAAATAAACAGCATGCAAAATGGCACTAAAACTGTGAAAGGTGAACCGCGTTATAGAGGGACGACTGTACAAGTGTGTGTCCTACATCTGTAATTTAATCAGGCAACACAGGTTCACTGGCGACTGTAATACTCTTTGTTTAACTCTTTTTTCTTTTTCACTCATCGGCCCTGGTGGGATTAATAAAGTTGTTTGAATCTGGATTTTTAAGACTGCAGGCTGCACACAGTTCCTTTAAATTCAAATCAATGAAGAATGAATTAAACTATATTTTACTTTCGCTACTAAATGTTAAAGTCGCGCTCTTTAAACTCCTTTTATCTTCGGTGCAAAGAGCTCGGTTTCTAAACGTACAGCCGTGTCCTGGCACAGCATGGGTTCTGGTTTTACCCACTGTTGCTATGATGAGGAAGGACTGACTAAACGGAGCCCGATCACACTATAGCACAGAACTTAAAGCAAAATCGACTTTTCAGAGCTTTTAATCAGGTTATAGATGCTTCCACTTCTCATTTACCCTCTCAAACTTGTATCTGGAGTGATTTGTGGATGTTTGAGTAACCTTTAATCATTTATTTTCAAGATGCCATTTTGCTGATCAAGTCCCTTTTTCACCACCACTGCTCTGTACTTACTTTGCTCTCAAATTTTATTTCCTTAATCTCTTACAAATGACAAAAAAAAACACTGATCTGCAGTTATCCACAAAAGTTGCCCCGTCTTTGTTGTGATGACGTTTACGGCGACGTCAGCTTCCATTGGACTCCGCAGTTTTCTAATGCAGAAACCAGTGGACTTGTTTCTTTTATTAAGTCGTTTCAGATTAATATTGTTATTTAAAATGTCCAAGTTATAAAATAATGATCCACAAGAGTCTATGGTTACGTTTACACAGAAACAAATCACCGCATCATCGTATCAGAAACGATTTGCGTCCAGAAATGATCCACACAGTAATGCGAAAAATCCTAAAATGCTTGTCACTCGACCAGGCTGGCGTCATGTCGTCACAACATCACGTGGGCGGTAAAAATGGAAAAAGTGGAGCATCGTGTCTGAAGTTGAAGCAGCCGATTTCGAGACGAGGAAAACGGCAAGCGTGAAAACAGTAGGGATGTAACAATAACCGAAATATCGTGATGTCGTATCGTCAAAAGTCTCACAATAAAACCGTGGACAGTTGCAATATATCGAATTACAAGTCTCTTTGGTTAAATGCACAGTTTTATAGTAGTGGCAGCTTATAAACATTGGAAACTACATCTCCCATGATTCATTTCAGTGCAGACAACATGAAGAGATATGTTTTTTACTTGAATTCTTGGGATTATGATGGAAATAATTCACACCAAAATCTTATCAAGGTATTTTAAAAACAAAAATGTGTCCTATCTACAGTTATATCAGTCTCTTCAAAATATCGCAATAAATATCGTACCGTGACATGTATATTGTGATAATATCGTACCGAGAGATTTGGCCATCGTTACATCCCTAGAAAACGGTCTTTCTGTGGACCGACGACGAGGTTCAGTTGTTACTGAACGTAACACTGGATTTTAAGACGAGCAGAGTAGTTCTAGTTCCGCTGTTTCCCGTTTGTCTCTGGTTTCGTTTAAACTGTTTTTCCGCAATAGTGTCACATGATCGATGTCACGAACCCAGAGAATCAGGAAGGTGCAAGTCACAGTGACGTGGTCCAATAAGGACGCAACCGATCAAGCGGCAAGTGAAGAAGAAGAACTACAACGTGAAAAGTAAAGGAACGGAGAAGTTGGAAACGTAAGTAAAAGTAATTTATTGTTTTATGATTATTCGTTACACGTTGTAGTTCTTCTTCTTCACTTGTCGCTTGATCGGTCCGTCGGAAAATAGAGTCCCACGGTCACTTCCGTTGTGGCTTTTTAATGTGTTGTGGCATTTTAATGTGTTGTGGCTTTTTAATGTGTTGTGGCTTTTTAATGTGTTGTGGCTTTTGCGTTTATGTTGTGGCGTTTGTATTTTTTGCGGCGTTTGCATTAAAATAAAGTCCCGCGGTCATTTTCGTTGTGGCTTTTTTTTGGTGTGTTGTGGCTTTTTAATGTGTTGTGGCTTTTTGTTGTGTTGTCGCATTTGTATTTGTTGCGGCGTTTGCGTTTGTTGTGACCCCTCTCGGCTTCCGTAGCTCCTATATCAGCGTATCAACGTTTTCAGGCGTCAGGCGAATTCGTGGGAGCCGGCGGCACCAGATCGTTTCGTCTCTGGAGCCGTTTTCCATCGGATTAGTGTGAACGAACACTGCATCCACAACGAAAACGACTCGAATACGAACTAGTGTGGACGGAGCCATAGATTATAACTATAACGCGGACACAAGCACAACAGGTCTTCTTCTTTATTTCAACAAAACCATGATTGGAAGCTCTAAAAAGTTACAACACGCCTCCTTTAATGATAAACTGTTTAGCCGTCCACTTACATTTTCATGCTCCACGACCAGCGTCCTGATGAAGTAGTCTGTTCTGGCCTGTTCTGACTCCTAGAAGGACAAAAGAGTAAAAACACAATCATTACAGCCAAGAATAATTAAAAGTGAAGTTGATTTTATGTGTGTTCCACTCCTCCACACTGTGATGCATCGCAGATACTTACGCAGGAGATTCTGAAAGGTCCAAAAGTCAGCGGCTCCTCTCCAAACTGCGGGAAGTATTTCTCACATTTTTTCTAAAGACAGAACAGAAAATGGAAGAGAAATTGTTAGTTTATGCTGAAGAGGGACTTTTAAACTCGTTGGACAATAATATGCTGCGTTTTCATTTTATTTTAGCACATCTCAACCCACGACATGTTATGCTTTATTAGTTATTTTGTATTTTCACGTGATTATTAAAGAGAGTGTGGAACGTCGTCTAAAGCATGTACTTTTTTATGTTTTATTTTACTTGTTAGTGTCATTTCAGTAAGTAATTTGTTACATTAAAATATGACTGTGTTTAAAATATAAAAGATTACACGACTATTACAGCACTTTAAATTTACTCTCAGCAAAATAACTGTGGCTGATCGTCAAATAACAATCAGCGAAGATGCTGAACTTTTGCACCGTATATGGAAAAAAACAGGACTGAACCAGGACTAAACCAGGACTAAACCAGTTCTGAACCGGGACTGAATGACGACTGAACGATGACTGAAACAGGTCTAAACCAGGACTAAACCAGGTCTTAAAGCAGGTCTAAAACCAGGTCTAAACCAGGACTGAACCAGGACTGAACCAGGACTGAACCAGGACTGAAACAGGACTGAAACAGGACTGAAACAGGACTGAAACAGGTCTAAAGCAGGTCTAAAGCAGGTCTAAAACCAGGTCTAAAACCAGGTCTAAACCAGGTTTAAACCAGGTCTGAAACAGGACTGAAACAGGTCTAAAACCAGGTCTAAACCAAGTTTAAACCAGGACTGAAACAGGACTGAAACAGGTCTAAAACCAGGTCTAAACCAGGTTTAAACCAGGACTGAAACAGGACTGCAACAGGACTGCAACAGGTCTAAAACCAGGTCTAAAACCAGGTCTAAAACCAGGTCTAAAACCAGGTCTGAAACAGGACTGAAACAGGTCTAAAACCAGGTCTAAACCAGGTTTAAACCAGGACTGAAACAGGACTGAAACAGGTCTTAAACCAGGTTTAAACCAGGACTGAAACAGGACTGCAACAGGTCTAAAACCAGGTCTAAAACCAGGTCTAAACCAGGTCTAAACCAGGTCTAAACCAGGACTGAAACAGGACTTTACCAGGACTTTACCAGGACTTTACCAGGACTTTACCAGGACTTTACCAGGACTTTACCAGGACTTTACCAAGACTTTACCAAGACTTTACCAGGACTTTATCAGGACTCAACCAGGACTAAACCAGGACCAAATCAGGACCAATCTTGGTCTAGGACTGCTCTTAGAGAAAGTGCGCTCGGGCGTCGGCTGCGATGCTCCCTATGGGCCCATCCCGACATTCAGAACCGTAACGATGTCGTTTCACCGATGCTGATATTGCCACGATTTTAGCAAATTTGTATGAAGGAAAACGAAAAACCAACCACTTCAATCCAGTTAAAAACACATTGTGACGTACGTAGCTCACATTTGTACTGAGTAAAATATTACAGTTTTTCCCAGTACTTGTTCCTCCCAACACTGACAACTAGCATTATTTATTTTCATATGGGGTTTAAAAAATGTATGACGTCCCATTTAAACACTGGATTTCTAAATTTAGGTCTCCTTGAATAGATTTTTTTGTTTCGTTTTTGTTTAGTTGTAAAGTTTAGAATAATAAAACCCAGGTCTCTTACCCTTCCCATCTCGAACTCCCGACACGCCATGACAATAACCTGGAGAGATAAACAGGAAACAAAATAATCAACATTTGGCCCCAAACACAGATAAACCTGCACAATGTCTGTTTATTTATGTTCAAAATAGCATCTGGAAGTTTAGAGCAGCTCCGTAAAGTGTAAATAAACTAAATAAAAATCAGGTTGTGAATGGAGGTGTAAGAAATAACTAAGACTATTTATAGGCCATACTTCTCAAATAATGTTATGATGTTATTGCTTTGTCTGAAATGTTTTAAAGTACGGCATTAAAATTTGTATACTAGTGGTGGAGCACCTTTGGAAAATGACTTGGATGAATTTTTTGCAGGCCTCAACCTCCCAACCTTAACAGTAGAGGAAACTGAAAGTTTAGATGAACCTATAACACTAGAGGAATTATTAAAAGCGGTTAAAAGTACCAAGAAAGGCCGTACGCCAGGAATTGATGGAATTCCAGTCGAACTATACCTTAAACTGTGGGACCTTCTGGGCCCAATTTGGCTGGAGGCAATAAATCATGCAATTAATATTGGCTCATTTCATCGTGACCTCAATACAGCCCTAATAACTGTTATACCGAAACCAGGAAAAGACCATCTTGAATGCGCAAATTATCGTCCAATTTCATTAATTAATGCTGATATAAAAATCTTCTCAAAAGTTTTAGCTAATAGATTGGAGCAAGTGGTAGGAAAAATAATTAATCCTGATCAAACAGGTTTCCTAAAACATCGTTTTCCTTCCGATAATGTTCGCCGCCTGTTGCATATACTCAGTTCATCACACAACATACCCCCAGCCTGTGGGCTGTTATTCTTAGATGCAGAAAAGGCGTTTGATCGCCTAGAATGGACATATTTGTGGAGAGTTTTAAAAGAATTCAAATTTGGGGATAAGTATATTGGTATGATCCAAGCACTATATTCTAACCCATCAGCAAGGGTCTGTATAGGAGGGGGCTTATCTGAATTGTTTCAAATTGGTAGAGGAAGTAGACAGGGAGACCCACTATCACCTCTAGTGTTCAATCTGTGTATTGAACCACTGGCACAGCTAATTAGAAATTGTCCACAAATATCTCCAGTCACCATAGGTACATCTTCACACTCAGTGTCGCTGTATGCTGATGACACATTGATTATATGGCTGACATCCAACAATCTCTTCCCATTGTTTTGGATAAACTTAAGTATTTTGGGTATCTTTCAGGATATAAGGTGAATTATTCTAAATCAGCCCTAATGCTGATAAATATTGATAAACAAGATATTTCCCTCCCTTCTGAGGTGAGGTTGGCTACAGAAACTACTTACTTGGGCATTCAGATCAGACCTAATGTAGAGGTGACTGCAAAAAACTGCTACCTTTCTATCCTAAAGAAAATTGAAGATGACATTAGTAGGTGGGTGCACCTGCCAGCCTCAGTCCCGGCTCGTATAGCGACCGTCAAAATGAATGTATTACCTAGAATAAATTTTGTAAGTTCCATGATCCCTCTGCCTCCTCCCACAGGTTATTGGCAAAAACTTGATTCTTTGCTTCGAAAATACATTTGGAACGGCAAGCGCCCTGCTATTAAATGGTCAGTTTTGCAGAGGAAAAGGACTAATGGTGGATGCGCGTGTCCCAACTTTAAACTTTATCACTGGGCTTTCATGTTGAGGAGTCTGTCCTATTGGTTGAAAGATAACAATTCATCAGCATGGAAGTCCATTGAAAGTAATCTTATTGAAGTTGAGGGACTTCCTCTTCCTGGGTCTCCCAATCAAGAAATGTAAACTACGATATGGTCCAATTCTGACATATATGCTGGTAGTGTTTAGAGCAGTAGAAAGATACCGAAAGTGCAAGCAAAAATGGCATAAATTATCACCATTGTGGCACAACAGTAATTTTCTCTCAGGCGGGAAACCATTTATAAACAAAGAGTGGGATAGTAAAGGTATTACGGTGTTATATATATATATATTATATATATATATTATATATATTATATTAATGGGGAGGAGTCCATCCTCAGCTTTCAGGAGCTGGTGTCAAAATATAATGTGAACAAACACTCTTTATTTTTCTATTTTAGAATAAGGTCAGCATGTAAAACCTACAAAGTCCCCTGGGGAGTAGAATTGGAAGACCACCCCATCTCAAAATTATTACAGGAAACCTCTAAAAGATTAGTGTCGTATATATACGATCAGTTATTGAATCAATGTGCAATGCCATCAGTGGGAATGAAAGCATGGGAAGGAGAGATATCAAGTGAATTGTTCAAACCTGATTGGGAATTAACTTGGCGTAATATTGAGAGAGCATCTAAAAATGCCAACCACCGTTATATACATTTGAAGTATTGCCATAGAGCAAAACTAACCCCAGTTGTGAGGCATAAGATGGGGGTAGCACCTGATCCTTACTGTTCCTATTGTCTCCCGGGGACTGCAGGTTCCTTTATTCATGTTGTATGGGAGCAGTTCAGGAACTTTGGGGAAAAGTGGTGAATTACCTTAGCACATTAACAGGAGTAAATCTACCAATGGATCCAACAGTTCACATTTTGGACGATGACTCACAAATATCTCTCCAGAATAAGACACGCAAAGTTTGGCTGGCAGGTCTCACAGCAGCGAAGAAGATTATTGCCCAAAGATGGAAAAGTAATGACGTGTCATTTACTCATTGGCTTCATTGTTTTATGGACATTGCTTACATGGAACTATTTTCAGCACAGATTAACAATGCAGCACTGAACACAACTGAATTATGGACTCAACTAATAAGAGAACTGGAAACAATTATGTTAAAATGATATTGAACTCACTCTGTTAATATAACATATATTTGTGTTATTATAGAGCTGGTTGGTGGCAAGGGAATGGGGGGGGGGTGGTTGGGGAGGAAAAGAAAGGGAAGGGAGGGGGGAGGAAGGGGGGGATGAGAAAGGAAGAGTGGAAGGAGGGGAGGAGTGGAGGGGGGGAGGAGCGGGGGGAGTGGGAGGAGGAGGGAGGGGAGAAGAGGGAAGTGGGAAGTGGAGGGATGGGAGGTGCGGGAGGGGAAGTGAGGGAGGGAGGAAAGGGTGGAGAGAAAGGGGAGGGAGGGAGGAGAGGGAGGGAAGGGGAGGGAGGGAGGGGAGGGGGGGAGGGGGAAGTTAGGTTAATGGAAAATAAGAAAAAACACATGACATGTATAATGGAATGTATATGTTGTAATATTCTTAATAAAAAATTAATGATAAAAAAAAAAGTACGGCATTAAACCTTTCTATCTTCATGGAGACCAAACTAGACCAAGTTACAGGCCAGATCTGTGGAGAGGCGACCCAACTCACAGTCAGAATGTTGTTTTTCTAGGTGTTTTTGAGCTATAAAACCACCTGTAATTGAATAAATATAAAGTAGAGTCGTTTTGTTTAATGTCACACTGTGGAACATTCCAAGCAGAGCAATGACGTATCCATAGAAACAAAACAGAAAAAAAAAATGACATAGTGTACTATTAAAATTAAAATATTCTTATCACAAGTCCTAAGTAGGGATTTAAAAGTTCAAGACATTTTAAGTTTTTGGGGGTTATTTAGTGTTAAAGTTGCACTGTGTAACTTTCTATGTGGATGGTCTGTCTCCATGGAGATGTTCTTGCTTGCTTGCCTGGAATTTTATTTATATAAATACCAATTTTATTTATATAAATACCATTATACAAATACCATGATGACCATCATCATATTTATATGATGACGGTCTGAACAGAAGACGGCAAAAGTGGCGTCGTGTCTTCGCTTTTTATTCTGAGTTTAGACGAGCGTTTTCGGTGATGAGCATTTTCGGTGACGCAAAAGTGTGTAGAATTTGATTGGGTATGTATGCCAGCTTTCTATGTGTTGTGTTTATGTGATGTAAACGCGTCCGCGACCTGAGCAGATCTGACCAGAGTTTTGCGTCTTGGGCAGTGTAGACGGAAACACGTAATGTTTCCGTCTACACTGCCGGAGCGTATTCTACTTTTCCACTCTAGAGGGAGGTTTCAGATTTTTGCGTTTTTGAGCCCCAAAAACACCGTCACCGTCTAAATGAAAGACACTTCCGATAAAATATCTTGTCGTCTTTACCTGCATTTCTTTATCTCGTGTAAAAAAGTCCTTTGTTTTGACGAACTTTACGACGATGACGGCATCACCATTTTCTAACGGCCTAAGTCAGCAGATTTGTTTCTTTTATCAAGTCATTTTAGATCAATATTTCAATTTAAAATGTCCAAATTATAAGAGAATGACACACAGATGTTTAGATTTAGATTCACGAATTCCACATACGCAACACACCGTTTCCTCGATCAACACCGCGGTTCTTACGGCTTTTTCAAACTGTAGCTTCCTCGCAGTTAGCACAGAGTTTGCTGCAGTGGAAGACAAGAATCCACGACCAGTTCACTACAAAAGAAAGTCAATTTTTGAGGTCGGCTGAAAAGGTTCGACGCCAAACTAAGGTGATTCTTGATGATGCTTTCCAGTGATGGCGCACACTGAAGCAGACGAAGTGTCTAAAGACTGACGCGTCGGTCGCTAAATTAATACTGGACTGGAAACTTCAACAGCAATTCTGAAAGCGCACCAGCTGAACACAAGCACATTTCTGTGTGTAAGGAGGAGGCGGGAGGAGGCATTTCTACTGACGGAGCTGTGAAGGAGGGGTAGTTGGTGTCACGCATGTGCAACATTTCAAAAAGGACAGAAAACGGTCGCTGTCTTTCTCTTTCTTTGAAAAATGGTCCATACAACCTTTAAGTTCTACTTTTGTCCTCGTAGGATGGGCAAGATTAACAAAAATTACCTCCTATTAGTTGCCAATAAAGGTCTACTATGTAACTTTCTGGTAGAGGGTTCACCACACGTCAGACTCAGGACCAGGGGCCAAATTTAGCCTGGGATATAATTATATTTGGGGAGCCAGATCATATCAAAGCGAGCAGGCCCGCCGTCTACAGACAGACTATAGCAGGGGTCTTCAGTCTGACGCTCGGGAGCCACCAGTAACTCTCCTCCCCCTTCCAAGTAGCTTGCGAAGGGATTTCGGAATCACCGTATTTTCAGGGTTATTAGACGCGCTCTTAAGCAACTAACCGCGTCAAAAAACAACCATGCGAACACAATCCAGAGCGCCCCATACACTCGAGTGTCCCAGCACGACTTCAGTAAACTACAAAGCCGCAAACACACACGGAGCAGACAGAGACCGCACAGCGAAACACACCCACAGACACACTCATCACTCCACGCCGACGAGGAACGGAACGGAGGAACGAACTGAAAAAGCGAGTGCAATGTGCCACTTCTAGACACGACTGAACAACTGAGTCACTGCGAACACGCCGACAATCCGTTGGTCCCATACAGCACCTCCCTACACGCCACAACTGAACAAAGCCCAGAGTCACCGTGAACGACACAAACAAACAAAACCACTCACCCATCAAACTGTTGTGTTTCCTTTAAAGTCCGGTGCGGTTTATTTGTGAAAAAAGTTCGACAATAGACCATTTAATGACAGTGCGCCTTATAATCCAGAAAATACGGTACACTACTATTGCACTGAATAACAAAAATGTGGTTAATTAAATGCCTATTACCATATGATTTTGAAGCCCAACTTTGAGCACTAATAAATGGACAATGGTTTACGTTTCAAAGACGTCTAACTGTACCCAAAGGCTCGCTCGCTTTTTTATAATCACCTCAGTTTCTTGCGGCGGCTAAAATTAGTTGCTCTTTTTTATTTTAGTTTTGTAAAAGAGCTCACTGGAGGAAAAAGGTTGGAGACCCCTGGGCTATAGAAACATTATTTATTTAAAGTTTTGTTATTATTTTATATTTTGCTTGTTCTGGATTCAATGTTTAAGTAAAACTATTATTAAACATTTAATTTAATAAGAAAAGCTTTACCACTGCATATCTCGAAAGAAGAGAAAACATGCAGATGTTGTGGAAATTTTTCAATAAATATTTAGTTTGGCTCATGACTTGGTCCCAGTTTTTAATTTTGGCCTCTGTGAATTTGAGTTCGACACCGCTGGTCTAGAATATCCCACAGAACAACAATAAACTTAACTATTTCTACTGTATGGAGACAAGCCCATAATCCCTCCAGGAGAAGTTACAAGTCAGATCTGTGGAGAGTTGACCTCACTCACTCACTCACTGTAGGAACACATGTGTTTTTGAGCAATAAAAACACTTGTATTTTAATAAATACAACATAGATGAAAGCAATAACACAGTATCTCCATGGAAACAATCTTGCGGCAGACCCTCTACCAGAAAAGTTACACAGTGCATCTTTAAACATTGGAATTACGCTGCTTTTAATCCACTTGAAACTCAAAAAATTTCCCTTTTGGATCAATAAAGTCTGTCTAAGTCCAAACTCACCGCCACGTTGTACTCCCAGTTCATCCTCCAGAAGTCGATGACGGTGTTTGGCAGCGGGCCCTGAGTGGCGATGTACGCCTCCGGGCCGTCGATGCCCTTTAAGAGAAAGACACAAAGAGACATTTTAAAACTCTACAAAACAAAAGACACAGACACCAACTTTAAACCAACTCCAAATCCAGATCGGACCAGCCCTGCACTGCAAGTGTCTCTGATCTGGACAAGATTTTAAAACTTATATCAGGTTAGTCATCTTGTTTTCAGATTTATTGTCCACTTACTAGGTCTGAGATGGTTAATTCTAGTCTAAAGGTCGTTTTTGTTAAGATAACTTGTCAAGTAAAATGATCTTGTTGCATGGACAGATAATTTCACTACTTTTAAGTCATTTTCTGATAGATTTAAAGGGACAGTCTGGAATTTTGGACATTGGTTCACTATGAAATGAGGCCCTGAGTGTTGGAGACGTGACACTTTTTAAAATATTCCAACACTCTGGAAAACTAGGGCCCCGTTCACACTAGTTCATATTTGAGTCATTTTCGTTGTGGATGCAGTGTTCGTTCATACTAATCCGATGGAAAATGACTCCAGAGACGGAACACGATCTGGTGCCTCCAGCTCCCACGAATTCACCTGAGTACAGATCTGATCCGGCACTGTGTGGATGCCTGAAAACTCTGATACTCTGATGTAGATCTATGCCCCGTGAAGTAATTCACCGTCAAAACTAGGGATGGGCATTCGATGAAATTTTCTTAATCGATCGTCGGAAGAATTAACGATCGATTATGGATTAATCGTTAATGTTTTTATATTAAAATGATCATCAGTATTATTACTATCTGCACTACTAATCTGCATAAATAAATTCAACTTTACGAAATATAAACCGTAACGACTCTAGAGCCACATCAGCCCGTTTGACATTATAATGTGTTTAATTCAGTTTTGCTCAACTCTCACAGAAACAAAACTTAAAACCGCATCGCTAATTTGCATAAACTCAGCAAAGATAAAACTGCAGCTCTTGTGTCGCTGATGTGGTTCAATTTCTGTTGGATTAAAAGACATGACTCAGTGGAATACAGGTTAGTGTGACCAGATTTGCGTTTGTCAAAACCAGGACACCGTACGGGGGGAGGGAGGTGGGGACTCGTCATCGACATTGCGCGACTCTCACCTGGTAAAACTTTTTCCCACTGGACACAGAAACATATGTGCTGCTTTATACACTGTGCACATGGACTCACACTTGTCCCAAACGCAACAGAAAGTGTGGAATTTCTTGTACAAATCATCGTTTAATACACATTTGTGCTTCGGTACGTTGCAGACTGACCGACTGTTTGTGTCTCGCTCCTTCTGATGCAGAGACACATGTACACACCTGTTTGGTCACACTACGTACAGCAACCTACATTCAGGTTTGTCGATTAAAATTAATGTAATCGATGAAATTCTTAATGATCAATTATCGATTAATCGATTAATCATGCCCATCCCTAGTCAAAACGCAAAGAGGCTAGAATATATGTCCATTCATATAAACGTGTGTCTGTGTGTGCGACCTGCAGACATATAATCTCTGAAAAGTTTAACATGAACCATCTCCAACGCAATAGAAACACAGAACAGACTCACCATCAGCAGAACACCCCTCTGTCACAGAAAGAACACTCATATTCCACTGAGTTGTGTCCTTTAATCCGACAGAAGATGAGCCGCATCAGCGCACAAGGAGCGAGCTGTTTTTTTGAGCGCTCAGTTTATGCAAATTAGCCATGTGGTTTTAAGTTTCGTTTCTGTAAAATGTAAACAAATGTGCTCAAAGCTGTGTGGATAAGGAAGGATTGCGGACACAGAAACGACGTGTCTGGACGCAAACAGTTTTCGATACGATGATGCGCGCATTCGTTTCAGTGTAAACGTAGTCTTAGATTGTTTTAATTTATATTTTGTCTCATATATACTGTAAGTCGTAAATGAAATAGTAAATGTAAACTTGTTGTTCATACGCTGTTTTTTTTCTTGTAATTCTGTCATTGTTTAATAAAGTCTGGCATTATAAGTACCTTTTACTTCAGCCTAAATCTTTTCGGTCATGATCTATGGGATTGTAGTCTATGTTTTATTTTTGTTTTGTTTTGTTATGCTGCAAAATGACAGAAGAAACTACTACTAATAATTATAATTATGGAGAATATTGTGCAGTCCAAAACAGGTACTGGCCTTTACTTGAATAAAAAGTAAAACACAGAATAAAAATCACATTTGTTTTGTTTTGTTTATATGTAAGTGTCAAACTGTTCTGTCACTCACCTTAATAAAGTTGGCGTTGATGTAATCTGTGTCCTGATTGGTCGTTTTTAACGTCACCTTCACTCTCGTGTGATCAACTGCAACGAGAGACGGAGAGAGGGAGGGAGAGGGAAGAAGAGAAAGAGACAAAGAGGGAGAGATGGAGGAAGACAAGAGAAAGAGGGAGAGAGGGAGACGGAGACAGATAAGAAAGTGATAAGAGAGGGAAAGATAGAAGAAGAGAGAGAGGAAGAGGTAGAGAGAGAAAGGGAGACGAATAAATAGACAGAGTGAGATACAAGAAAGGGAAAGACGGAAGAAGAAAAAGCAAGAAGCAGAAGAGAAAGCAGGAGAGGTGGACAAAGAGAAAAAGAAAGATAGAGAGAGAGAGACAGAGAAAAACAGACAGCAGAGTCAGCAAGACAGAGAAAGGGAGAGGGAGAGAGGAGCGTGAGAGGGAGAGACAGGAGGGATAGAGAGAGAAATCGAAAGAGGAGATAATTGAATATAATTAGCACAGTTTGAAATACCAACACACTGAAGAAACTGACTCTGTGTGTGGTTTTGTGCGTTTGTGCGATTGATGGAAAACGTAAGCAGGTCAAACTAGGACAAAATAAGGAGAAAAATATGTAAAAAAGGATAATTGTCTGAAAACTCACTTAGTCACGAAGGAAGAGGTGGGAATGAACGAATACATGAATATAAATGCACAGAAACGACGAGGAGAGTTCGAGCGTCTCATTTGAATCTAATATATAGTCCATAACTTCACTTAATTGTTTTTTTTTACAAAGTTGAATTTATTTGGTGCACGATGTAACTTTTCTAGCGGAGAGTGTGGGGCATCCGCGGTTATTGCTTTGCCTGGAATGTTCCCTAGTGTGGCAACGGTTACAGGTCAGATCTGTGGAGAGGCGACCCCGCTCACAGTGACACTCACAGGTTTCAAAGGTCTTTCTTCTAGTAATAAACACACGTGTAACTGAACAGACGGCAGATCTGATGCTGTACTGCAGAACATACTTTTTCTTTTGACATTTTTACTACTACTACTAGTACACTACAACAAATACTACTACAACAACCACAACTACATCCACAAAAACTACAACTACTACTACAACAACAACTACTACTACAACAAGTACTACTACTACTACAACAAATACTACACAACACAACTACTACAAAAACTACAACTACTACTACACAACCACAACTACATCCACAAAAACTACAACTACTACTACTACAACAAGTACTACTACTACTACAAACAACTACTACTACTACAACACAACTACTACTACAACAAATACTACTACACAACCACAACTACTACTACAACACAATACTACTACAACAACCACAACTACATCTACAACAAATACTACTACTACAACCACAAGTACAACTACTACTACTACTACTACTACTACTACTACTACTACTACTACTACACAAGTACAACTACTACTACTACTACTACTACCACAAGTACAACTACTACTACTACTACTACTAGTACACTACTAACTACTACTACTACTACAACCACAACTACATCCACAAAAACTACAACTACTACTACAACAAGTACTACTACTACTACAACAAATACTACTACAACAACCACAACTACTACTACAACAAATACTACTACAACAACCACAACTACTACTACAACAAATACTACTACACAACAAACTACAACAAACTACTACAACTACTACTACAACAAGTACTACTACTACTACAACAATACTACTACATACAACACAACTACTACTACAACAAATACTACTACAACAAACCACAACTACTACTACAACACTACAACTACTACAACTACACAACTACATCTACAACAACTACTACTACTACTACTACTACTACAACAAGTACAACAACTACTACTACTACTACTACTACTACAACAAGTACAACAACTACTACTACTACTACTACAACAAGTACAACTACTACTACTACCACAAGTACAACTACTACTACTACAACACAAGTACAACTACTACTACTACCACAAGTACAACTACTACTACTACCACAAGTACAACTACTACTACTACCACTACACCACTACCACTACCACTACCACTACCACTACCACTACTACTACTACTACTACTACTACACTACAACAAATACTACTACAACAACCACAACTACATCCACAAAAACTACAACTACTAGTACAACAAGTACTACTACTACTACTACAACAAGTACAACAACAAGTACAACAACAACAAGTACAACAACAACAATTACTACTACTACTACTACTACTACTACTACTACTACAACAAGTACAACTACTACTACTACAACAAGTACAACAAGTACAACAACTACTACAAAAAGTACAAGTACTACAACTACTACTACAAAAAGTACAACAACTACTACTACAAAAAGTACAACAAGTACAACAAGTACTACAACTACAACTACTACTACTACTACTACTACTACTACTACTACTACAACTACTACTACTACTACTACTACAACTACTACAACTACAACAACTACTACAACTACTACTACAACTACTACTACTACTACTACTACAACTACTACTACTACTACTACTACTACTACTACTACTACTACTACTACTACTACTACTACTACTACTACTACTACTACAACAAGGACAACAAGTACAACTACTACAACTACTACTACAACAAGTACAACAACTACTACAACGACTGCTACTACTACAAATACTACAACTACAACAAATACTACTAAAACAACAACTACAACTACTACTACAACTACTACAACTACTACTACTACTACTACTACAACTACAACTACAACAACTGCTACAACGACAACTATAACAAATACTACTAAAACAACTATTACAACTACAAGTACTACAACAAACACTACTACAATAGCTACAACAACTACAATAACTATAACAACTACTACAACTATAACAACTACAACAAATACTACAACAACTATTACATCTACAAGTACTACAAGTACTACAACTACTACTACAACAACTACAACAACAACAACAACAACTACTTACTACAACAACTGCTATAACAATTACACCTACATGTACCGCTACTACTTTTTATTTTATTTTTTATTTTTTTGCTTTACTTTTGACAATCCTAAAAAGTACAAAAAGTCCTAGAAATTCTTGTTTCTGTAGCTATGTCATTGCTCTGCTTCAAATGTGCCAGAGTGTGACATTAAACAGCTCTACTTTACATTTATTCAATTACAGGTGATTTTATAGCTCAAAAATACCTAAAAAAACAACAAAAAACACTTTCTGACTGAGCGGGGTCGCCTCTTCATAGATCTGACCTGTAACTTAGTCTGATTTGGTCTCCATTAGGGATGGGCATGATTAATCGATTAATCGATAATTGATCATTAAGAATTTCATCGATTACGTTAATTTTAATCGACAAACCGAATGTAGGTTGCTGTGTGTATGTGTGACCAAACAGGTGTGTACATGTGTCTCTGCATCAGAAGGAGCGAGACACAAACACAAACAGTCGGTCAGTCTGCAACGTACCGAAGCACAAATGCGTATGTAACGATGATTTGCACAGGAAATTCCAGGCTTTCCGTTGCGTTCGGGACAAGTGTGAGTCCATGTGCACAGTGTATAAAGCAGCACATATGTTTCTGTGTCCAGTGGGAAAAAGGTTTTACCAGGTGAGAGTCGCTCAATGTGGATGACGAGTCCCCACCTCCCTCCCCCCGTACGGTGTCCTGGTTTTGACAAACGCAAATCTGGTCACACTAACCTGTATTCACCTGAGTCATGTCTTTTAATCCGACAGAAACTGACCGCATCAGCGACACAAGAGCTGTAGTTTTATTTTCGCTGAGTTTATGCAAATTAGCGATGCGGTTTTAAGTTTCGTTTCTGTGAGAGTTGCGCAAAACTGAATTAAACACATTATAATCTAAAACGGATTGATGTGGCTCTAGAGTCGTTACGGTTTATATGTCGTAAAGTTGAATTTATTTATGCAGATTAGTAGTGCAGATAGTAATAATAATGATGATCATTTTAATATAAAAACGTTAATGATTAATCGATAATCGATCGTTAATTCTTCCGACGATCGATTAAGAAAATTTCATCGAATGCCCATCCCTAGTCTCCATGAAGACAGAAAGCTTAAATATCATACTGTGAAACATTCCAGACAAAGCATTTGAGGGACGCACCGCCGGAAAAGTTACATAATGCACCTTTAAAGGAAAACAAATAAAGACCAAAAAAAAAAGTGAGTTCAGACGAGGACAAACAGAAAGATTCCACTGAGAGTCGTTTAAGAGTTTAATAGGTCTCCTCTAATGCCCTCATTCCTGTCCTGTGCATGTAAGCCCCACAGCTGCTCTGGATAAACCCCTCATTCAGTAAAAACCAGAACCGACAGATGCAGAAAAGCGGGAAAAAAAAAAAAAAAAAAGCAGTCCAGATGTTGCGTTCCGTCGTTCGTAGACGAGAGGCATCGCATGGGACTTAGAATCGCGCATTAAAACAGGATATTAAAGTGTTTATAATGGAAAATACACGGGGGAGTAATGCAGGCGAAGTTACACAGCTGTTATGTCACCGGATTAAGTCCACCTACTAGTAATATTACTTAGACAGATATTTATTTTTATTTTCACGCTGATTAAAAAACGGCATCTCAGTGACATCTCGCTGGGGTGTCCTACATGTATGTCTATAGCAGGGGTGGGCAAACTTTTTGGCTCGGGGGCCACAAAGGATTCTAAAATTTGACCGAAGGGCCGGACCAGGAGCGGAGAGAAAAAAAAAAAAAAAGAGATATGTAGAAAACCTGTGCTTGAATTTCAATTGAAAGTCACTACAAAGCATCACAACAAAATATCTGTCTTTCTAAAACACTGAAAATTAAATTAATAAAATACAGCTACTATTTAAAAGCACTGAAAGTTCTGTTCTCCTTCAGGATCTTATCATCATCACTCTCCTCATGACTGACAGTAGAAGATGCAGATCTACTTCTGTTCAACGTGTGTCCCCAGAGCCAAAACTCAACAACGACCAACGCAAGGATGGAACAGTGACAGTGTGTCAGTCTGTGAGCAACGTGTTATATTTGATCTGGTGTACATTGTTTATAATGAGTGCGTTTACGTGCACATCAGTATCCTGGTTACGATCGGGTGTTTTGAGTCATGCTGAATGTAACTATCCCTGTTACTGCAATGTAAAGTTGAGTGCGATTGCATCCAAAAGACAAATACTTATGAAATACTTTCCGGGGCAGAATCTAGTTGTGGCCGTCACCATATTTTCTTTAGCCAACCTCCCTAAACTTGACTCACCACTGACCAAAACGTGTGATTGCATCACTCTCCAGTACGAGCCTAAACCCAACTAAATCTTTCCCGTATATAACACTTTCTGCTCCGTTGTGTGTTTTAACGCCCTGTGGGTGAAGAATTCGTAATATACGAGTCCACGAGTTTTTCAACTTCACTTTCACCCTAATCAGAATGGAAACAGTGCAGGGTTATGTCTTGAACACTTCTGCCTCACTCATGGTCTGAATACACCGACCGAGAATGACTCTTGTCACTAGCAAGTCCGAAAGAACACTTTCCCATAAAGCATTGCGTCTAACATAATACGCCGCACCTCAATGTATACATAGTGCTCCATCTACTGAGAAACGCTGGAAATGCAGGAAAAATAAAACATTAACAAGGTTTATTACTATAATTTATTCAAGTTCGGCGGGCCGGACTTAAAGGTTTGTTTGTTTGTTTGTTTGTTTATTTATTTATTTATTTGAGACAGCGCACAATTTTTTACATTTACCTTAACAGGAGAGACACATCAGGTTGTAGCACCAGTGCTAATTTCCACCTGTCGTCCCTGGTCAGATTCATTGATTGATTGTATTTAACTGACCTTGACTATCAACTGTTCTGGACCTGGAGCATGTTTTGGGTTGATGGGGGAAACCAGAGGAAACCGAATCCAGACACGGCGAGAAACATGCAAACTCCACACAGAAAGGCCCAGGCAACCCAGGGATAGAACCCAGAACCTTCTTGCTGTGAGGCATGAGTGCTAGCCACTCAGCCACCGTGCTGTTTAAAGGGCCACATATGGCCCCCAGGCCGTAGTTTGCCCACCCCTGGTTTATAGTAAGGCCCAACCGATATGAATTTCTCTCATTTTCACATTTTTTGGGGATGCCCACTAGGGATGGGCATTCGATGAAATTTTATTAATCGATCGTCGGGAGAATTAACGATTGATTTTCGATTAATTATTAACGTTTCTATATAATAAGTATATGATGATTCTGGTGATTCGTTTCAGTGTAAAAGTAACCTGATTCTAGTGAAGGTGTATGGAGTTTAAAAACACAGTGGAGCCCTTCCTGTATTACCACATGACATCACAAAGAAAAAACAGCATGTTTTCAGTTTGAGAAGAACACAACCTAAACATGCAGGGTTTGTGAGGGAAACAAAACACAGATCAGAAAACAGCGCAACACAGGCCATTTAACCTCCAGGCTGAAAATGTTCACATGAGTCGGCCAACTAGAAATATAATTCAAAACATGACTATTTTATGATGTATGGTGATTCAAATGAATGCTTTAAATAAAAAAAAAAGTGCACATTTAAATAGTGAATGGGGGATTTCAATATGAAGCTCCGGGCTAAAACTGTACACGCTGCTGTTATGTCATTTACTATACACCAGATTACAGTTTAAGCCCGTCTGCTGTTAATGTTCATAGAGAGATCATGACTCTTTTATCATTTGTACGGCTTTATTCAAAAGTGTATGTTAAACTAGACAGGTTTGCTCACAATCGCAATATTAAAGGGCCCATTTTACGCTATTTTTTGATCTATGTTGTGTAGTTTCCTCATCACAAACAGACCTGGAGTTGTGTTTTGTTTCATTCAAACCCTGCACATTTAGGCTGAGTTCTTCTCTCAAACGCCCCAGGGTCTTATGGGGCCCAAAATTGGACTCTCTTCCTATTAATTTACATTAGAGGGGGGCCCATGTGAGGCTCCTTGCCCCAGGGCCCCCAAATTTCTGTTGATGGGCCTGGATCTCATTAGAGTTAAAACTGTGTCAGCTTTTTCTGGTAACAAAGAACCCGTGTATCATTCGTTCATTTGTTTTTTAATGTAAAAGCAAAAATATGAAAATGAAAAAAAACTAAACAAAAACAGTTTTCTTCATTATTTGTCTCCAAAACCAAAATGAAAAAAACAGATAATTATTAGTTTTTTTAGTTTTCAATTTTGTGTTTAAATGAAGAATGGAAAAAATGGGTAATAGTCGTTTCTCGTTTCCGTGACTTAAAACTACGATGCCGGACTTTTGCGCTGAATACGGACTGAACCACGTCCTGGTTTCGGTCCTGGATTCGGTCCTGGTTTCGGTCCTGGTTTCGGTCCCGGTCTTGATCCCGGTGTCTGTCCCAATCTCAGTCCTTGTCCCGGTCTCTGTCCCAGTCTCTGTCCCGGTCTCGGTCCCGGTCCCGGTCTCGGTCCCGGTCTCGGTCCCGTCTCAGTCCCGATCACCCAACAGTCCACGTGGGTACACCTCCGGGCCCGTCCCGACACTCAGTCCTATTTCAGTCCTGGTTCAGTCCTGGTCCAGTGCTTTAAACCTGGTTCAGTCTTAGTTTAGTCCTGGTTCAGTTCTGGTTTAGACCTGGTTTAGACTGGATTTAGAAAAGATTCAGTCCTGTTCCAGTCCTGTTCCAGTCCTTGTCCAGTCCTGTTACAGTCCTGTTACAGTCCTGTTACAGTCCTGTTACAGTCCTGGTCCAGTCCTGGTCCAGTCCTGCTTTAAACCTGGTTCAATCCTGGTTTACTCCTGGTTGAGTTCTGGTTTAGACCTGGTTTAGACTGGATTTAGAAAAGATTCAGTCCTGGTTCAGTCCTGATTCAGTCCTGTTTTTCAGTCCGTATGCGGCGCAAAATTCCGGCATCTCAGTTTAAGTCACAGAAACGGGAAACGTCTATCCGTTTTTTCCATTTTTCATTTAAACACAAAATCAAAAACTGAAAAAAACGAATCACTATCCGTTTTTTCATTTTGGTTTTGGAGACAAATAATGAAGAAAATTGTTGTTGTTTTTTTTTCTTATTTTTGGTTTTATATTGAAAAACGAACGAACGATACACAGAATACAAAGCCTCAAACAGAGCAGTGCCTACAGTTAGTATCACAGCCTCAAGAAAATATTATGTTCAAAATAAAGTAATACTTTCACACTCACATGGCAGTATGTCTTTGTATCTGTTCTTCTTCACGTTTTCCTCTCTCTCTCCGACGTTCGTGGGGTAGATCTTCTCGGTCCTGTATTTTGTTGATAATCGCCGCAACCTCTGCAAAAGACGAAAAAAAAAAAAAAAAAAGGCGCAGTTTAGACCAAAGAAAATCAATAACAAACTGTATTTTTAAAGCACTTTCCACCGAGTCTCGAGACCAGAGCTGCGCGGCCCGTTACACACAAAAAAAATCGTTTCTCCTTGGAGGCGAATAAAAGCAAGTTCTGGTTCGGCTTCTGAATAGATTTCCCGAATAAAGACGCTTATTTTACCAGTGATACTTTGAAATGACATCACGCGGCGGGACGGGGGTTCTACATGTACGTCTACGGCAGAATGTTCAGCTGTTACCGCAAAAAAAGCTTCTCCAAAATGCAAGATATGAACACTTAAATCGATCAGAAAACGACTTGAAAGTGGTGAAATTATCTGTCCAAATCATTTTACTTGACACGTTATCATAAAATAAACAACCTCTAGACTAAAATTAAGCCGTGTAAGAACTAGTAAGTCGAAAATAAATCTGAAAACATGACAAATAACCTGATATAAGTTTCAAAATCTTGGCCAGATCAGAGAAATTTGCAGTTTTATAGACACATTGCACTGCCAAAAAAGCTCTAACATCGTCTAAAAACTCGAAATAAAACACAAAATGGCTTTAAACACCGATATCCAAATGTCTACATACAATATTTTAACGATACGCATCTCACGGTATGATGTTTATTGTGATATTTTGTAGAGGCTGATATAATTGTAGATAAGACACTTTTAACTTTTAAAACAACTTGCCAAGATTCTGGTGTGTATTATCACTAAGGATGTAACAATAACCGAAATATCGTGATATTGTATCGTCAAAGTCTCACAATAACATCGTGGACCATCACAATATATCGAATTACAAGTCTCTTTGCTTAAATTAAGAGTTATGCTGCAGCAATAGCTAAAAAAAGACAGTGGGAACTACATAGACCAGGTGTGTCAAACTCATTTTGGTCCGGGGGCTGCATCCAACTGACTTTGATCCCAAAGGGGCCGGATCAGAAAACTCATGTCATATAAACCCCAAAAATAACAATAAGTTCAAATATTTGTGCAGAGAAACGTAAATCTATTACAGAAATCTTTTTTAATTGATGAACTCTTTCTTTTACAAAATATTATAATATTATGAACAACCTGAAACTTTAAGAAAAATACAATTTCAACACAATGTTTTAATATGAACTTGTTTAACATTAACTTGCATAAATAGGAATAAGTAAATTTTTCTTGTAAAATCCTGCACTCGGCTCCACTTTTCTCATGTTGGACATTTTTCTGATGAGGGTGTCACGGTCAACACAGTCAAAACGATCGTCCTTTAAGAGCATTTGGAAAGAGACAAGTCTTCATTTGTGCTGCTCTGGTGGGAGGGGCCACGTACAGAGACGCTGGAGACGCTGCTCTGCTCAGCGACAGAAAATTATCAATATTTTAATAAAAAATAGAATTACAATATTTTAGTAGAAAATCAGTCGAGGGCCAGATTAAAGGTCTTGGAGGGCCGGATCTGGCCCCCGGGCCGTATGTTTGACACCTGTGACATAGACCATGATCCTTTGCTCCATTTCAGTGCAGACTACAAGAAGAAATAACAGTTAAAACGCCTTGACAAGACTTAATCCAAAGATCTAAGACTTAAAAGTGTTAGATCTTTGGATTAAGTCTTGTCGAGGCGTTTTAAGAGGAAAAAGTATATTAGCCTCCACAAAATATCTCAATAAATATCGTACCGTGAGATGTATATCGTGAAAATATCGTACAGAGAGATTTGGATATCGTTACATCCCTAATCGTGGAGCTTTCCCACGATATCGCAATAAATATCGTACCGTGAGCTTCATACCGTGACGATATCGTATCGTGAGACTTGGATATAGTTGCACCCCTAATTATTACTGTCACAATCCCAAGAATTCAAGTAAAAAACATATTTCTTCACGTTGTCTGCACTGAAATGAATCATGGGATATGTAGTTTCTGATGTTTATAAGCTGTTGCTACTATCAAACCATGAATTTAAGCAAAGGAACTTGTAATTCGATATATTATGACACACCTACGATATTATTTTGAGACGTTTGCTGATACGATACGATATTTCAATTACTGTTACATCCTTAGCGAATACATTTCAATTTAAAAGGTGCATTGTGTAACTTTTCTGGTGGACGGTCAAACACGGTACAGCATTAAACCTTTCTATCTTCATGGAGACCAAACCGGACCACGTTACAGACCAGATCTGTGGAGAGGTGACGCTGCTGACAGTCAGAATGCCTGTTTCTCTCCAACCAAACAAACACAGTGCCCCTTTAAGATCTCAATTTTTATCTGTGATGTAACAATTCAGGCAAAATGCAATGTTTTTCTAGGTATTTTTGAGCTATAAAACCATCTGTAATTGAATAAATGTAAAGTAGAGCTGTTTAATGTCACACTGTGGAACATTTGAAGCAGAGCAATGAGATATCTATAGAAATAAATATTTGTAGGACTTTTTGTACTTTTTAGGATTGTCAAAAGTAAATAAAAAAAAAGAATACAAAAATAAAAAGTAGTAGTGGTACGTGTAGGTGTGGTTGTTGTAGTAGTAGTTTTTATAGTGGTTGTCGTCGTTGTAGTACTTGTAGTTGTAAGAGTTGTTTTAGTAGTAGTAGTAGTAGTGTAGTAGTAGTTGTTTTTAGTAGTACTTGTTTGTTGTTGTAGTAGTAGTAGTTGTCGTCGTTGTTTTAGTAGTACTTGTTGTAGTAGTAGTAGTTGTCGTCGTTGTTTAGTAGTAGTTGTTAGTAGTACTTGTTGTTGTAGTAGTAGTAGTTCGTCGTTGTTTTAGTAGTACTTGTTGTTGTAGTAGTAGTTGTCGTCGTTGTTTTAGTAGTACTTGTTGTAGTAGTAGTAGTAGTAGTTGTCGTCGTTGTTTTTAGTAGTACTTGTTGTTGTAGTAGTAGTAGTTGTCGTTGTTGTTTTAGTAGTACTTGTTGTTGTAGTAGTAGTAGTAGTTGTCGTCGTTGTTTTAGTAGTACTTGTTTGTTGTAGTAGTAGTAGTAGTTGTCGTTGTTGTTTTAGTAGTACTTGTTGTTGTAGTAGTAGTAGTAGTTGTCGTCGTTGTTTTAGTAGTACTTGTTGTTGTAGTAGTAGTAGTTGTCGTCGTTGTTTTAGTAGTAGTTGTTGTAGTAGTAGTAGTTTTGTTGTAGTAGTAGTTGTCGTCGTTGTTTTAGTAGTACTTGTTGTTGTAGTAGTAGTAGTTGTCGTCGTTGTTTTAGTAGTACTTGTTGTAGTAGTAGTAGTAGTTGTCGTTTGTTTTAGTAGTACTTGTTGTTGTAGTAGTAGTAGTAGTAGTTGTCGTCGTTGTTTTAGTAGTACTTGTTGTAGTAGTAGTAGTAGTTGTCGTCGTTGTTTTAGTAGTACTTGTTGTAGTAGTAGTAGTAGTAGTTGTCGTCGTTGTTTTAGTAGTACTTGTTGTAGTGTAGTAGTAGTAGTAGTTGTCGTCGTTGTTTTAGTAGTACTTGTTGTTGTAGTAGTAGTAGTTGTCGTCGTTGTTTTAGTAGTACTTGTTGTAGTAGTAGTAGTAGTTGTCGTCGTTGTTTTAGTAGTACTTGTTGTAGTAGTAGTAGTTGTCGTCGTTGTTTTAGTAGTACTTGTTGTTGTAGTAGTAGTAGTAGTTGTCGTCGTTGTTTTAGTAGTACTTGTTGTTGTAGTAGTAGTAGTAGTTGTCGTCGTTGTTTTAGTAGTACTTGTTGTTGTAGTAGTAGTAGTTGTCGTCGTTGTTTTAGTAGTACTTGTTGTGTAGTAGTAGTAGTAGTAGTACTTGTCGTCGTTGTTTTTAGTAGTACTTGTTGTAGTAGTAGTAGTAGTTGTCGTCGTTGTTTTAGTAGTACTTGTTGTTTGTAGTAGTAGTAGTTTGTCGTCGTTGTTTTAGTAGTATTTGTTGTTGTAGTAGTTAGTAGTAGTGTTCGTTTTTTTAGTAGTACTTGTTGTTGTAGTAGTAGTAGTTGTCGTCGTTGTTTTAGTAGTACTTGTTGTTGTAGTAGTAGTAGTAGTTGTCGTCGTTGTTTTAGTAGTACTTGTTGTTGTAGTAGTAGTAGTTGTCGTCGTGTTGTTTTAGTAGTACTTGTTGTAGTAGTAGTAGTTTGTCGTCGTTGTTTTAGTAGTACTTGTTGTTGGTAGTAGTAGTAGTAGTAGTTGTCGTCGTTGTTTTAGTAGTACTTGTTGTTGTAGTAGTAGTAGTAGTTGTGTCGTCGTTGTTTTAGTAGTACTTGTTGTTGTAGTAGTAGTAGTAGTTGTCGTCGTTGTTTTAGTAGTACTTGTTGTTGTAGTAGTAGTAGTAGTTGTCGTCGTTGTTTTAGTAGTACTTGTTGTTGTAGTAGTAGTAGTAGTTGTCGTCGTTGTTTTAGTAGTACTTGTTGTTGTAGTAGTAGTAGTAGTTGTCGTCGTTGTTTTAGTAGTACTTGTTGTTGTAGTAGTAGTAGTACTTGTTGTTGTAGTAGTAGTAGTTGTCGTCGTTGTTTTAGTAGTACTTGTTGTTGTAGTAGTAGTAGTAGTTGTCGTCGTTGTTTTAGTAGTACTTGTTGTAGTAGTAGTAGTAGTTGTCGTCGTTGTTTTAGTAGTACTTGTTGTTGTAGTAGTAGTAGTAGTTGTCGTCGTTGTTTTAGTAGTACTTGTTGTTGTAGTAGTAGTAGTAGTTGTCGTCGTTGTTTTTAGTAGTAGTACTTGTTGTTGTAGTAGTAGTAGTAGTTGTCGTCGTTGTTTTAGTAGTACTTGTTGTTGTAGTAGTAGTAGTAGTTGTCGTCGTTGTTTTTAGTAGTACTTGTTGTTGTAGTAGTAGTAGTTGTCGTCGTTGTTTTAGTAGTACTTGTTGTTGTAGTAGTAGTAGTAGTTGTCGTCGTTGTTTTAGTAGTACTTGTTGTTGTAGTAGTAGTAGTAGTTGTCGTCGTTGTTTTAGTAGTACTTGTTGTTGTAGTAGTAGTAGTTGTCGTCGTTGTTTTAGTAGTACTTGTTGTTGTAGTAGT